TCGACGATGCCTACCTATATGTGCATAAACCGGTCATAAAAATGCATACGTTCATTTGGTAATATGAGTGGCTCTGGGTGATTTGGAGTACAGTTGTGTTTTCAAAAAACGCAAGGTTCAAATGTTTTATAATATAACATTCTCTCCCTCCTCCCAACTGTTCAGCATCACTCATTTCTCCCACTGACATATCCTTATTCCCCGTCCTTTGCTAAGGTGAGGTCCTGTCGAAACGTGTGGACCCCAAATCCGCGATCCTGAAGGACCTACGCCTTCATCGCACTAAGTGTTCCGGCATCATCAAGCACATCCTGGGACCGGTCCTTCACGATGAACTCCTTCAAGACATGAAGGGATCCTTCTTCAGCCTGGTTATAGATGAGTCTACAGATGTTTCGGATTGCCAGTGTTTGGGTGTGATGGTCCGCTATTTTAGCAGGCGTCATAAGCGCGTGATAACCACCCTGTATCGCCTGATTAAACTGGAGTCGGTGACGGCGGATGCCATCACGCAGGCGGTGCTCGACGCACTCGAGAAGGACGGTCTCCCAGTGCATAGGCTCGTTGGGATCGGTGTTGATGGGGCGAGTAGTATGGTAGGTCGGCATCATTCTGTCAGTACTCTGTTGAAGGATAAGGTCCCTCACCTCATGGTAGTCCGATGTTTGTGTCACTCTCTGAACTTGGCAGCTAGTCATGCGTGTGCCGTGCTTCCCCGGCATCTGGACTATCTCATTCGAGAGACGCACAATTGGTTCGCTCTAAGCCCAAAACGTCAAAGGGAGTACGAACAAGTCTTTAAGACTCTCAATCCCGGAGAGAACAACATCAAAATCCCTAAGGTGGCAGAGACAAGGTGGCTAAGTCGTGGGAAAGCGGTGAGCACCATTTTGGATCAGTACCACGAGTTGAAAATGATATTTCAACTCGCGAAAGACCGGGATAGGTGCTATCAGGCAGAGGTGTTGTATAACATGTACAACGACCCGCAAAACCATCTTTACCTGACCTTCATGTCGTCACAGCTGAAGGCTATCGACCGTCTGAACAGAGTGTTTCAGAGCGTAAACCCCGATCCTTGTGTAATTCACAAAGACTTGCAGTCATTTGTGCAGGACTTGCTCCAACAAATTGTGATGCCGGCAACACTGAAAGGTACATCTGCTGACCAGCTGCCAGGACTTGATATACGTGCGAACCTCATTCCAGCCCGAGCAGTGTTCCTCGGACATACGTATCATATAGAGGAGGGGAAGGTTTCAGATGCACAAGGTGTGATTGTTCGTGAAAAGTGCCGCGAGTTTTTAGTCGCCCTGGCAGAGCAGGTTCAGAAACGGCTTCCGGACAACGTGGCAATGCTGTCCGATTTGACCCGACTGTCGGTGGGACCCGATGCTGGACCGAGGCGTTCCATCTCGGGTATCGCTGCCAGATTTTCAACGATATCGGGAGATCCAGATGAGGTTGAGAGGGAGTGGGTCGCACTGCACCGCGACGAGCTGACCCAGGATGGCGCGGGCCAGGATCGCGAGCAGTTTTGGGCAGACATGAGTGAAATATGCATGGCCAATGGTGAAAAGAAATACCAGCACGTGTCTGATTTGGCGATGGCAATTTTGAGCACGCCTGTCTCAAATGCATCGGTGGAGCGTCTGTTTTCTGTTATGAATGTAGTTAAGTGCAAACAGCGAAATGCGATGGGCATTGACATGCTTGAGGCGATATTGACTGTGCGATCATACCTAGCCAACTTCCGTCAGTCATGTGTGACTTACGAGGTTTCTGACCGGATGCTGGCAGCCTTCCGCAGCGATGTTATTTATTCCTGTGAGTGGCCAGAGGGTCTGTGAGCTATAAGTAGGTATGGTAAATATATGCGCCTATGCGCACCCATGGTTCAGTCTGACATTTTGTAACGACAGTTCGATGGCTGCGAAAGAGCATTGCTAGTGTGATATATGATTAAGAGAATTGGAATGCATCTGTATTAATGCCCCGTGTTAATGACGGTCTGATTTTTATGTTCGGTAAGTTACCGGTGGATCGACTATAGAATCTGGAGGAATCTGGAGGATTTCAGCGCGGACGCTGGAGGATTTTCTACCTGACCATCTGGCAGCACTGGTGTTTTATCCTGTCTTTCAGAACAGCCAGCTGCTTGTTTACGTAGGTCTCTATTTCCGGTTCTGAGTCTTGAGGAGCAGCGTGGGTAGGTGCTGATGTTGGTTTTGGATGTTGTTTTTGATGTTTTTGCAGAAGATTCCTAATATTTTGATGCCCTCTTTATATCACAAACCTTGCTATTGTGCACATTACTCAAAACTGCGTTTTATTGTCATTTTGTTGAATATATTATGCTGCGGCGTTAGTGGCGCGTTTTTTGTCAATATTTTGTTGACCGGAAATGGAGTGGATGGGGCAAGACGCCTACTCGATGCATGGGGCGAGACGCCCCCAGTTTTCTGAAAAGGGGGCGTTTTGCACGGTGGTGAGAGTGCAGGGTAGCGCCCTGTAGGTCGGGGCCGAAAAGGCCTCTCCCTGTCCTTTTTTGCTGATATATCCTAAAGGACTGCAGATATCGTCACCAAACTTTCAGGACTCCTCCGGGCATCCATTTTACACATTGCAACAAAATTTTATTCCAAAGGCTATGATAGGTTGACCACAAATGACGTCAGAACGACGTCAAGTTCTGCCATGTTCATCATTTTCTGTTGATAGATGTGGTGGGGGCGCTTTGCACATGGGTGTGGGCGTATTACCCAGGGTATGGGGCAAAACGCCCTTTTGCAAGGGTATGCGAAAACCTTTTTGGGTGGTTAAATACCACACGCAGGTGTCTTTTCTTGGTCTCAAAACGTAGTAAAAAGAATGAGCTACATGATGGTGCCCAAAGGTTTAAGTAATCTGTGTTGGGTTGAGTGTCAGAAGGTTTCGCGCTTAAGGGGGGCGTTTTTGACCTATTCACCCTAAGTCGCTGATACCAGCCGCGGGCCGGACGTCAGATGGTCGCGGGCCGGATCCAACCGTCACCCACCTGGCCGGATCCGGCCCGCGGGCGGTATGCCGACCCCTGACGCTAGAAGGCCTTAAAATCGGGTATTAATCTCTGCGGCTCGTAACGGCGCACACGCTCGTTTTTTTCCGCGACGCGCTAGCTCCACCAGTGGCGAAACGGCGATGGGGGGGGGGGGGGTCGTACCCGCCCCCTCGGCCGGCGTGTACCGTAGAAAACAAATAAGTCCGGCGGGCAGTAGCGGCGGAACATCTTCAATTAAGGGGGGGGGGGGCACGGCACTGCCGACTTTTGGTCCAATATGCTTTCCATGCAACGCCCATAGGGCTACTGTTAAAAGGCCAAAATTAAAGAGGGGAACGGTGCCCCGGTGCCCTCCCCGTTCCGCCGCCTATGCCGGCGAGGGTACAAGAGATTATATTGTCATTCAACGACCGCGAAAAAAAAGAATGTCCGGGACAAGGCAGTATATACCAGGTAGAATCATCCCAGTGCGCAGCTTTTCTGCGCAGGTGGCGGGATGACGTCACCGAGGGTGCACAGCCGGCTGGCGCCGGCCGCCGCCGCCGCGGGACCGCTCGGCGGGCGCGGCTATTGAAATGCAACGCGAAAAGAGCATGATCGAATGAAAAAAGGGCACAAATGGTTAAATTGAATCGAGTTAAGTAAGGTAAGGTCAGGTGAGGTTAACAGACTACATTCAAGCTGCGACTGAGACTACCGACGGGTGGCAGTCGCGGATATCACGGGACTCGGCACGGCAGTATGGGGCCGCAGATTCGCCGGTGGGTGACCGTCGGATGCGCCGGTGTTGGTCCTATGATAGATTGGTATAGGGTACTCACAGAGGCAGGGCTTTGTACGACAGATTGCGGCCCTCAGAGTCGTCGGTTCGAAGCCCCTACAGGTGCCGGTGTAGAGCTATGAAGTGCGCTGAAATGGAGTCTCAGGCCCGGGCCGGTATGGGACCCAATGGAGCTCAACAAGACTATTGAAGAGCTTGTGTGGTGCCTTCAGTAGACCTGTGGAGACCTTGAAGACCGGCGTGGTACTCTGGGATGCCGACGGGGGCCCTCAGTCACCAGTGGGCGGCCATCGGATGACGGATGTGCCGGTGAGCGGGCCTTACGTGTCGCTGATATAAAGAAGCCCTACAGGTGCCGGTGTGTGGCTTATGAGACCCCTGGCGTTTAGTTTCAGAGGCAATTATGGACCTATTAAGGCTAAGCGAGATTTAAGAGCTGTCGTGGTGCCTTCAGTCGCCTTTACAACCCTTGAAAACCAGCGTGGTACTCTCAGGCGCTGGTGAGTGCCCTCAGAATGGCCGGTGTGGGCCATCAGAGGTGCCAGTGTGCCGTGTGGGGCCCACAGAAGCACTGGTGTGGAGCCCTTAGAGGTGCCGCTGTGGGGCCAAAAGGGGCGCCGGTGTGGGGTCCCAAGAGGCGCCGAGATGGGGCTCTTGCAGAACCCGATGTGAGGCTATGAAAAGCGCTGGCGTGGGGCTCTCAGATGGCGGTATGGGACCTATCGGATCTAAGCGTGACTATGTGAGAGTTTGCGTGGTGCCTTCGGGGCCCCGTGGGATGCCCTCCGGAACCCTGAGCGGTTCTTAGAGACCGGCATGGTACTCCAAGACGCCAGTGGGGCCCTCAGAGTCGCCGTTGGGCGACCGTCAGATGTACTGATTGGGCCTCCTCGGGGGTGCACAGCCGGACGGCGCCCGCCGACGCCCTCAGGGACCGCTGGGCGAGCAGCAATATAACCCGCCGCTGTCATACAGCGACAATAATTTTACTTCTTGCTGACACCGTAACTCACTTTTTCGTTGAAATTGCGAGGCGCGCAATTCCATTCCTGAAGTCATAATCAATGACTTGCTTACGAATAACAAAACAGTTTCGACCAATATCACTTCGCACTAACCACCGTTGAAATGAATACGCAGACGAATGAAAGACGATGAATACGCAAGAAACACAGCTTCCACTTCGCACATATACCGTTGTTAACAATTTCCAAGTTTCCCACTAGATTTACACAAGAAGCAGCGCAATGCATCAAGCATATTAGAATAGACTACACTCCAGATGCGACAGAGACTGCTGCATGGTGCGAGCTGAGGATATCTAGGGACTCGGGGCTGACGGCCCTCAGAGTCGCCGGTAAACGGTGGCCGGTGGGTGACCCTCAGATGTCATATCATGGGACTCGCCAGTCGACGGACGGCACATGAGAACTCCACTAGGGACTGACAGGCGACAACAAATGATATACATTACACAGCTCTCGAACTCGAACGGCGGAGAACACTGCTCTTCGATGATTGTGCCCAGCTTCTCTGGCTGACGACGGCAGCGACATTGCAGGTCCCCGCAAACGGCGGCGATAGGCAGGAATCAATCTGGAGCTGGCTGGCCCCGGCAGACGGCGACGACCGAATTGCAGGCCCCGATAGACGACGGCGATGAGCGAAGGTCCAGAAAGACGGCGGCGATGAACGGCACTCATCTACTTGTGCACACACCTGCACCAGCACAGGGAGGATAGATATTAACATTAAGCACATGAACAGATACACAAACGAGTGCACAAACCCATGCTCTTCCCACTCACTGGCACATGATAGGAGAACGCACAGCCCACAGGTATATTTCTCTCATAGATATGCACATTGCACATCGCACATGGACACAGTACACACACAAATAGCATACATATAACATATAATCGGACATAATCATGGTAATTTAATGATTCTTCAAATTGTTTGAGGTGAGGTATAAGAATCATTGTTGTTTTTGTTAGTCCTAACAAAAACAACAATGATACTTTGCCACAGTTTTCCAGCCAGTTACTTCTCTCATCATCATCATGATTGCCTGACCTTAGACTTAATCAGCACTGGCCCTTCTAAGGGTAATACAAAATCTAATTACATATGAAGAAGCAGCTAGATGAAATGTTGAGACAGGTCTGGCGAATACTCTAGACAAGTCTAGCATAAGACTAGCAATAGTAATAAATCTATTTCTTTGGTATAAAAATGAAATGGTCCACACTACTTACCAGGCATCAAGGACAGTTTAAAAAGTTCAGTTCATCATTTTCTTTGATCAACCATATTACCATGACTACAAGTACAAGTTGATAATGATCTGGCTATGACTTGGCTCAACCTCACTCCATCTTCACAGTTTATGCTGACAGACCAAGAACTGAAAAAGAGCATATTCATATCAATATACACCCATAGGCTACACCCATAGGTACCTACGTACCAATCAAAACCTTGCGAAGTGCGAACTTATCACAGGTATTGTAAAATCCCATGACTGAACAAATTAAGGCAAACATAAGGAAAACATCACATCAAATAGATCAGTAGGCGGAACTATGGTCAAGCGTACCCATTTTCGGGAACGCATTTTCGTTCCCATGTTTGGGAACGATAAACCCAAATATGGGAACGCCATGTAGGCATTATTTAAAACAAGAAAAAGAACCGTTAAATGACGTCCAAAAAATATAAAACGATCGTGAACCGCCTGATATTTGTCTCAATATTGTTGGGAAAGAGTTTGATATTGTAAGGCCCATCGTAGTTTCAAATCGTTCCTCTATTTCTAAAGCAGTCCATCATCCGGGCCGCGAGCCCAAATTTGGGAACGCTCTCGTACACTGGCGCTGCAAGCGTTCCTTATTATGGGAACGGCGTACCCAAAATTGGGAACGATTTCACCGACGCCTTTCAGGGGCTCTTTTCATTAACAAGCATCACGTCCAACGCCGCAAATTATTGTTAACGCAACAATCATCAGATGACCTTTCCGGCAAGACCGTCGCATGTTTCGCCCGGTCTTCTGCGCTTTTATTCCCGTCGATCTCGCAGCGGGCACGCCCCCCTCTGCAGGATACGTAATTCACAACGCTCAGCGATGTTCAACAAGGTCTTCCATACCTATATCCACCGTCCGCGCCGAGGGTGGAGACATGTCAAGCATCTGTCTGTTTATCACCGATAGTTGACGAGCACAAGGAAGTATCCAAAAATGGGAACGCTGAATATGTTACACCCTCAAAACACCTAGTCCCAATGAAAATCTAGTTTTTTCCTTTCTTGATGAGTGTAAGTGGCAAAAGGCCTGGTAGGATGGGCACGAGGAATGATCGAAATCAGCATAAAAACTATAAATAAGCCACACAGAGCGACCTATATAAGAGAAATTCCCCCAAAACGATCACGCTTAGAAACACGGAAGACAAAAACCACGCTCATGACGCTCCTTATAAAACAACTCTAAACAGCTAGCATCCAAAAAAAATATATCTTTCTGGGATGATAAAATACAGCTGAATAATTTTAAACCACTGAAACTGAGTTTACAACAGTAGTTCGGTAAAATCACTGACGTTCCATGCGGTCGTGCGCCCCGACACCAAATGTCACCAATATTACCCCCGGACTGTCCGCGTGTTCGCTTGCATATGTCAGCATCTGGTGTCGCTAGTATGAAACTTCATAACCAGGCGAAAATTATTATACTTGACCTCAAAATGTAAAAAACGCTTCATTTTCCTTAAAATTGCAAGTTAAATGTAGTATAACCCATGTTTTCACCATTCCGTCATTTCAAAAAATCATTAAAAATATCATTCGACGGTCAATTTCCTTGTGCAACGGTCAGATTAAAGATAATTTTATAGAGACTTAGTAGATACTTAAATTAGCGTGCACTTTTTTGAGACGTGATGCACTAATGAGTTTTAGTGGGCGAACGGCCGAAAAATTACCTTCCGTTCCCATAAATGGGAACGCCCGTTCCCATATTTGGGAACTCCGTTCCCAAAAATGGGAACGTTCCTATATTTGGGTACTCATGACCATAGTTCCACCTACTGAGATAACAACTTTACCGCAAGAGTCCAGACTTTTAGCCACCTAAATATCAAAGAAAACGGTTTCAGGCAAGAGCAGGTATGCTAGTAAGCATTTTAATGTTCCCAGTTCACCACACGACCATACTGAGGCGCATTGTCGGCTTCCGCATTGTCAATAATTTAGGCATACAAACAATAACCTCAGCAGGCTCATGCAGGCAGAGTATTACAAAATGAGAAAAGATCGACGAGATTTACTTTGTGGGACGCTGAGGGCTTCCTTAGCAATATTATCAAAAAAGTGTTTAAGTTCTTACTTCAAACTGTAGCCTGTAATCTCAATAAACAGTCAACTAGGCAATAATGTTGTGCACCAAAGACTTATTAAAAATGTTCCCTAGCTGCTGTAAGTAATATCAGATATCTATAATTAGGTAAATTATCATATCTCCAATAAAACAACCCACCCAGTGTATCATGCACCTATACTCACAAATAATATCAACGGAATATACTTGGAATTCGCCACTGTTTTTCAAAACTTTTTGTTTGAAACATCTGCGCCAGAGCCGTCAATTCTGTAAAAATGTCCTCTAAAACACAGCAATGATTTGACATTGCCCACTAATTCACTGCAAACACTTAAAGGCATTTATTTTCTCAAAAAACATTCAAAAGCCAATGTTAGTGACCAAAAATGAAAGATTCATTGCTGTTCTTTGATTTTAAATGGCTTTTTATGTAGAGAAACATCAATTTATATCGCTACGAGCCAGGATCGAAGTGCACCCTCGGTGACGTCATTTGTCCCTGCCGCCCGCTGAGAACCGTACACGCAGGGCCCAATGGGGATGACTACGGCCTGGTCCGGGACACAAATGAGGAATGTTACGATTGTCGGCTCCCAAATACAATAGCTTAACCTGACTGACCTCATCTACCTGTCTTCAAAAGTTTCGATCATCCATTCCTTGCATTAAATTCGTCATTCACTTGACTGTCTGATATTTCTTCATGGTTTTATTGAACCACATTTGTGGACGAATGTTTGCGGAGACGAAGATAGCGCAGACAAAGGTTTGCGGACGAAGATTTGCGGACGAAGATTTGGTTGAACAAAGAAATGCGTGGACGAAAATTTGCGGACGAAGATTTGCGGACGAAGATTTGCGGACGAAGATTTGCGGACGAAGATTTGCGGGGACGAAGATTTGCGTGGACGAAGAAATGCGGACGAAGATTTGCGTAGACGAAGAAATGCGTGGACGAAAAAATGCGGACGAAGATTTGCGGACGAAGATTTGCGGGGACGAAGATTTGCGGACGAAGATTTGCGCAGACGAAGATTTGCGTGGACGAAGAAATGCGGACGAAGATTTGCGTAGACGAAGAAATGCGTGGACGAAAAAATGCTTGACGAAGAAATGCGCCGACGAAGAAATGCGGATACGAAGAAATGCGCTACGAATTTTTGCACCTACGAAGAAATGCGAGACGAAGTAATGCGACACGAATAAATGCGCCGACGAAGATTTGCGGACGAAGAAATGCAGACGAAGAATTGCGCGACGAAGAAATGCCATACGAAGATTTGTCCTGGAATCCCTTGCTAGTGTCTATGTAAGTGCCAGTGGCAGTTTTTCCACAAATAATGGTAGTTCAGTAAGTATTGTGCACACACATCTCTCACATTAGATCGAATTGCCTGGTACTCACGAGACGAGAGGGGTGATTGCTTACCTATCTATTCAAACACGAGTGTCTATGGAGCCTTTCAGTGTTGCATTTTCATATGAGTCAATTATTAAAATCAATTTAGTCAGAACTATAATTACGCCACCGAACATGTTCTTTTTGTGTCTGAAATCTCTTAGTTAAAACTCTGATCACATCCTCAAAATTCCCACACTTGCATGACATTACCCATACTGTTCTGCCACAGGGATTCGGACAACATTGCTGGCAGAAGACGGCGGCTGCGGAAGCGGAGGCCAAGCCGCTCAGCGTCTCAAGGTTCTACTGCTGGTAGCTGCGGTGGCATCCTGGCCTCACTCTCAGCACTGGCTGGCTACAAAGCCCTGCCTGATGGTACCTCGTCTCAACAGGAGGCCCGTCCCCCACCAAGTATGGGGTTTGACGCAGGGTCTATGTCGGCACCAGCCTCGACAGGAAGAGCAAAGCGGAGGGCGAGGAAGAGGCGCCGAGAGGAGGCAGAAACTGCGGCAACTGGGATCGGACGCGCCAAACAGCTACGGGAGACATTCAAACTGTGGGTGCCTGCCTCTGGCGCACAGAAGACCGACACACTATCTGATCCAGGACAAGGTCGGGAAGGGAATAACTCGGGTGGTGCAGAGAAAACGGCTGGTAGCGGTGAAAACACAAACACTAATGGTGCAAAAATGGACATTAGTATTGAGGTGAACAACGAAAAGGCCACTAATGGCAGAGGGAAGACTAACGATAACGGCGGAACCGAATCGGGTGCCAAACTGAGCCGCTCAGCAAGACAGAGGCAGCGCAAGAGGATGAAACGCGAGCTTGAGTCGCAGTCTGGCGGCGCTCTGGCTGGTGAAGAGCATAGTAAGACGGCGCCAGTGACTGCGCCGGTGACACGCGGTAGGGAGGACCAACAGCATGACGCAAGAGCCGTGGCGTCCATGTCGTCTAACGTCGAAGAGGAGGCCAATGCGCCTGATGAGAAGAATGCAGAAAGTTCTAGTGTGTCAGGCGCAGCTCGAGCACGTCTTCTGTTAAAGCGGGCCAAACAAAGAGAGAAGAGGGCAGAAAAACGACGTGAGAGATGGCGTGAACGGGCAGGCCAGCAGCAGTCAGACGCTGAGGTCAAACAGAACGGCGCCACCTCAGGTCCTAAACAGAATGAGACATTAGCAAAGGAGACTGAGCATTCGCCAAACAACACAGGGGCTGCTGTTGTGCAGACCGCTCCGTCCCAAGCACAAGAGTCGACGTCGACAAGGACAACCGTCAAGGGAAACCCAGCTGACGGTTCTCATGCCACTTTGTCTCAGCAACCACCGCTGTCTGTCTCAGCCGCGCGGAGGGCAAGGAAAAGACGACGGACGCGAAACGATTCAGCTGCCGAGTCCGAGTCTGTGGCCAACAGCGCGCAACATGAACCACAACCTGCAGACAAGGGGGCAAACAGATCCCCAACTCCTACCAATGAAAACGGTGCAGGGGCCGACGGCGCCGCTCGGGGTGGTGCCGGCTCCAGAAACAGAAAGAAAGCTAACAGGAAACGACCGCGCTGGACGGTGCTCGATTCGGTAACGTGTGAGCCTGAGACACAGGAGAATGCGGAACCGAAGACCGCCGCGTCAATGGTGTCTGAGACGGTGTCTGGTGCCGAAACTGGTGCTGGTGCCGGTGGTGCTGCTGGTGGTGAGAACTCTGGTGCTAGTGGTAGCGTTTGGGCCACATCTGGTGCTGGTGGTAGTGTATGGGCCACACCTGGTGATGATCCCAGTGGCAGCGTCCGGGTCACCAATGCTCCTGGACATGGCGTCACTTCCGGTGGGGATGGTAGTGCAGATGCCACCGCCGGTGTTGGTGTAAGCGCCAGCTCCAAACGCAGGAACAGAAAACGAAAGCGCCGAGCCGATTTGCTTACGAACGCAGGCCTGAACGCGACACCGACGGATGCAGAAACTGCGACCCAAACCGCGGACCAAACCGGACAGCTCGCTGATCAGAATCCATCCGTTGATCATGAGAAGTCCGCCCCATACGTCAACCCGGCTATGACACGAGCTGCCAGGAGAAAGATGCGACAGTCGCTACGCCAAAAGGCTGGCAGGGCAGCCGGGACTGGTGAGAAACCTCTGACAAGATCCGATGCGCCTCTTTCACATCTGGCCAGTGATGATAGCGACGATGACGATGAAAAGTCGACTGACCGTCGCTGGTGGTGGAAAAACAGCGAGAGCGGCAGCGGGCGCTCCGAGGGCGAGGAAAAACCGCCCTCTGCTCGTGCCAAGCGGCGCCAGAAACGGCGGCGCAATAAAGAAAAGGGCACAGGACGTGAAAATGCTGCCGCCTCAGAGCCAGACGCCGTCTCTGCCGCGGGGGAAGACGGTGGTCCTTCTCCGGCTAAGGTCGCCAAGGTGATGACGGATACCTCCCCTCCCATCGTTTCTCCTACACAACCAGAGGCCTCTGTCGAAGTCGACGCTCAGCCTCAGGCTGAGGCCGGCGCTGGTGTAACCGACCCGGCCGCCGCCAGAAAGGCGAAACGAGCGGAGAAGGCGCGCTGGTCTCGGCAGAAACGCCGACAAGCTCTAAGGGAGAAGGCGAAGGCGGAGGCTGCGAAAGTGCAAGAGGGCAGCGCGGAACCAGGGCTTAAAGCGGCTGCTGATTCAATTCCAAAACAGGCCGTGGACTCATCAGGAAAGTCGGCAGACGGCGAGAAAACTGTTTCTGCGGCTGCTATCTCAGCAGCTGCTGCCTCTTTGCTCACCTCCATCGGTTCTTCCACTGCTAGCAAGACTACAACGAAAGCCACCACCGCAACTACCACCGCCGCGATTGACAGAGCCTCTACCGCGGTCACTTCCGCTGGTACAATTGCGAAGCCCGTCACTAATTCCATCACTCCGGCTACCGGGACAGGAGAATCTGCTACCGCTGCTGCCGCTTCGGCTCCTCCCGAGTCCAGCGCTGGCTCAGGCCCCAAAAAGCCCGTCTCTGCCCCCGCCTCCGCCCCAACCGCTGACCCCGTCGCTGACGCCCCCATCACCGCGACGGACGCCGCTGTGGTGACGAGACGACGGCCGCGTCGTCGGCGCGGCCAGGGGGTGTCCCAGCCGGGTCGACTGCTGCTCGGAGGCACCATCAACGACCCACTCAACCTGGCGGAACTGGAAGGCATGGACGACCCGAGGTGAGGCTCGAAGGGGACCATCGTGTGGAAGGAGCTGAGAAGTGCTTGTTTTTACATGCAGGCGTGGCAGTCAACGTTTTGCTGTTCATCAATCTTTCTTCAATCTTCATAACCAGTATAACGCCTTTTGGGGCGACTAACGGAGCGAGCGAGAGGGTGGGCCTTGCAAGTGCGAAATTGCGAGGGGGTATCTCCAATTGACTTGTGCACGGCACCCTACTAACCGGTCTCTAGCGATGTGCCAAATTTGAGCACAATCGGCCCAGCCGTTCTCGAGATCTGGGAGCGGCACCCTGCACGTGCGCACGTGCAAAATGGGTCCCAACTGACTTGTGCACGGCACCCTACTAACTGGTCCCTAACCGTGTACCAAATTTGAGCGCAATCGGTCGAGCCGTTCTCGAGATCTGGAAACGACCTCTGCACGTGCGCACGTGCAGCAGCACCCCAACTCTGGCACATGGATATGCATTGCCTAGTGGGTGCCTTCCTACATGCCAACTTTCAGCGCAATCGGCCCAGTAGTTACCGAGATATTGCAACTATTACAAAAGTGACACCTCTTCGTTTTGCACGTGGCACGTGCATAAGGGGTCACCCACATGCATCGGGAATCGTCTAATACTTGGTAGAAGGAATGAAGCTACCCTACAAAAATTACCGCATATAAATCCGTCAAGTGGTTGCTGAGATATAAGCGTCGCAGAATCGTGACCACGGCCGGCCGACCGGCCGCTCATACTCAGAAATTTCCGTTATTCTACGTAAGACTCCGCTCGCTTCGCTCGCTCCGTAATCATATTTACTTAAATTTTCCATTTCTTTATGCTCATAATATACTTAATTTCGAATACCTAAATTGGTATCCTGGTAGCCACTTCAACATTGTTTTGGGGAAATTAAATAAATTTGAAACGTGAAACAATTTTGTGATTATCTTTGGAGTTGGGTATGTGTTATGTCATGCGTCTCTGTTTTAACCGAACAAAGACCGACGTGACAGTGATTCACTTGTTTGTTCACAGTGATGATGATTCCAACAATATTCCGACACACGCTTCCAAACTAGCCGCGAAAAGTGCCTCATCTGCATCTGCATTGGAGTCTGGTAGCTCCAAGCTGAAAGGAGCGCCGTCGGAACTCGCTGAAACGGATACAAAGAAGGTCTCGGACCGAAAAACGCACCTTTCTCGGACACAAGCAGATGTTGAAGCAGACAAACCTGTCAATGGGAACGTTACTGCCCCTGTGGGAGCTGCTAAAGCTGATGCCGGTTCTGTGGACCCTGAGAATGCTGCGAAAGTTGTTGAAGCCACAGAACCTGCAACTGCTGCTCCGTCGGAAAACGACACCGTCGGAACTGCTGGTATCAAGTCAGATGAACACACCAAATCAACCGATGATACTAACGATACCGCGGCCAATGTAGCGTGTGCCGATTCCCTGACGACCACTAAATCTCCTTTCAAGAAAGAGACCGCTCAAACGGAGACCACGCCACCCGATACAAAAAGCGGCGATAAGTTCTCATCTCCGTCAGCTGCCAATCCGGGCACCAACGAAACCAGTCCAGCCGACCTATTGAACACAGAAACCGACCAAAAACCGTCCGAGGATCCCTCGTCCGCTGCCTCTGCCGGCAAAGACGCTGTTGCTACAGCCGCTGCTGACGCAAACGTAGCTGCTGCCGCTGCCACGGCCTCTGCCGACGCTGATGCTGACTCCGACCCAGAGTTTGACCCGCGCAAGGCCCAGTTCCAATACGGAAACTATAACCGCTACTACGGTTACCGGAACGGCGGCCGGCCGGACGGCCGGCTGGCCTGTCTGAAATCCGAGTGGTTCACAGGACTGGATGTGCTGGACGTGGGCTGTAACATCGGTCACGTGACCCTGACGGTGGCACGTGACTACGCGCCGCGACGGTGTGTCGGGCTCGACATCGATAGCAGCCTGATCAAGGTACGAGGGTTGTGCGTAGAGGGGGATGAGTGAGGGGCATGCTGGAGTTGCCGTGAAGTGTTTTAGTTTATTTGTATGCTACTTGTACTTAGCAGGAGGTATCTGTTATGTCGTTCCTTCAAAAAAATTCATGATGAAGGCGTGATCAAAGATGTAAGGATACTGAGCAAAATTATGGCTAAAATATTCCATTATTGATTCGATTCGGTGTTAATATACACCTTTAACCTGTATGCACTTACCGATCCTCGGTAAGCCACCTCATTTTTGTATGTCTGCATGAACCTTCACTGATCTTAATTCATCCCCTTTTTTCATCTTAGATCGCTCGGAAGAACATCAAGCACTATCAGGAGCAGCGGAAGACGGGAAAAGCAGACCCGGGTGACGCCCAGGATGCAGCCAAGAGTGCCCCCGCCAAACCTACAAACTTCCCCAGAAACGTCTCCTTCGTTCACGTAAGTCGATAACAACACAATGTCTTTCTGATATTGATCTTCCGATGGATGGTCTTCTGCTCTTCTTTCACCGCCATGATTTGACATGAAGACCGACAATAATTCAATCAAGAATGTATTTTCTATATGGCTTTTAAAAAGACTTATGACTATTCCAGCTGTCAAAAATGAGTCGCTATAGCACACGCGGAAATGAATATCTGTAAGCGAACCATTTTCTGCCATCCTCCCTCCAAATTGACTCCTCTCGTTGTCAGGCCAACTTTGTGCTGGAATCGGACGCCCTTCTGGAGACGGTAAAGCCAGAGTTTGACACCGTGCTTTGCTTGAGCATCACTAAATGGATCCATCTCAACTTCGGGGACGACGGTATCCGCCGCTTCCTGCGCAGAGTCTACCTGTGTCTGCGGCCCGGAGGGAGGCTACTGCTCGAGCCGCAACCGTGGAGCAGCTACCTGAAGTACAAGAAACTCACGGTCAGTTTCGGAGGGGGAATGCACTAAGCGTGGGTGGTGTGGGCAACAGAAGGGCGCCGCTAACTCGAGATGTTATTTGATCCTGCGAATTTGTGTGATAAATTGTTTGAATCACGTATAGTTAATAGGCCACTTGTTTTCATTATTCATAATATTATTTTGAGCACGTTGAGCAGAGCACGTCCTTTTGAGCAGCGATCCCAGCGCTGTTGATTCGTTTCGTACTTGGAGTTGCGTGTTGTTCCACTCTGATATACGTTATGCCTGTGCCTGTCTTGAGCTGTGCCGTGACCCCTCCCTTCTCTCTGCAGCCCAAGATCTCTGAGACGTTCGGGCAGCTGCAGCTGCGGCCCGACCAGTTTCCCGAGCTGCTCGAGCAGCTGGGCTTCCTGCCGTGTCAGACGGTGGGCCGACCGCGACACTCCGCGGCCGGCTTCAGCCGCCAGCTGCAGCTCTTTATCAAGGTAATGTGGCACACTAGGCTATATACATGTTATTACCGTGCCGCTCAATATAGGGACCAAGATTACTTTACTAATAATAGGCACAACGGATGGGAAAACAATTTTACCTTGCCGCTCAAAATAGCGACAGCGGATGGTAGACAGCGGAGCGTTTTCTTTTTACGCGCTGTTCCTGCATGTAATAGCCTGGCACACTGTTGACTGTACCATTATCTGTGTGTATATAACGGCTTCAGGACAGCCGACAATTGAATATATGGCGATACAGTTTTATTCAAGCTTTGATCTGTGACCCAGGGGCCAGGTGCATTATCTTGTAACTTATAGTGCTTTTTTAGGTGTGATGTAAAATAATGACGTGATTGATGTGCTACTTCACATCGTTGAATACCGTTGAATATGGCGTCATGCAAATAACTATACGAAACTTTGGCCGCGATACCGCAATGAGCACAGTGCCGTTTCTTACTCCATTCGCCTGTCTCCGTTCCAGCCGGGTGGCAGTCACCCTAGCTCCGATCAGGACATTACGGCGCCGTCAGACACCCCGGCAGCTCCGTCAGACGCCCCAGCAGCTCCGTTAGACGCCCCAGCAGTTCCGTCAGACGCCCCGGCAGCTCCGTCAACAAACGGTGTCGGAAGCTCTGCCCAGCCCTCAGCGGCCGCTGCTCCTATCGCGGAGACGACAACTGATTCTGCTGCGACTGATGCTGCTAATGATACAGCAGCTGTGGCAACGGCAACGACTGGAGTGAAGGGACCAGCAAAAGAGGCGACCCATGAAGCTAAAACTGCTGCCCCGGTGACGGAAATAGCGCCACCTACTGCTGTGGAGCCTGCGGCGGTGACGGCAGTGGCGGACAAGCCAGAGGAGAAGGTGGCTGAGACTGCTGCTGCTGCCTCGGAGGCGGTTGTAGCGCCATCTACTGGTGCGGAGTCCGCGACAGCGACGGCGACGTCCAAATCATCGAAAGCAGAATAGCCAGAGCTTTTGACTGTGGTGACTGAGGCTGAATAATGTCCTGCGAAGGGCTGCCTGAAGTCGGAAGCTGATATCACAGCAGCATCGGCGGACAGCCGCGGGGTCGGTCAGACTGGTTCGGTGCAGTGACATGAAGGCGGCCGGAGGACTGATTGACAGTGTGAATACTAAAGAAATGAGCCAGTTTCACCCCACTGAGATTCAGACTCTGTCAAGACAATACCTAAGTGACCGAAACTCCGCCTTCATTAGTGAGGCAGGATACTACCCATCCTGAGGAGCCTAGCTGAGTGCTGGGTCGGACAGGTGAACACAGAAGTCAGCTATCTGGTTGACTCATAACAATGCCGGCCAGAAGGGATGTGTGATGACTTGCTGGTCCGGCTGGACCGTCGTGGGCCGAGCGGCTAATGATAAAATTGGAGGCTATTCACTGTCACAGGTCGAAATCTTGCCGGTTGGAGAGTGGTGCGCAGGATGTGAAGGCTTGTCTTCAGAAGTAGGAAGAACGGCGTATCTCAGCGACCGCAGAGAGGCTAGCCCAGAGTATAGTACCGGGAATTCCAAATGCTCTGCGTGGTTGACCGTTTTGAGCTCATAGGCTACGAGTGAGACGAGGGCTTTCTAAGTGGGCGGTATGCAAGCTGAGAGTTTGCCCATCCCATCAGGATGCTGTCTATATGTCTGTGCGATTCTGAGGTTTTCTTCGCATGCCAGTACGAATGGTTAAAAATGCCTCTTCGAGCAGGGCCTTCGGCAGGAGTTTTGTCACTGCCTGGAACGGACAGATCTCCGTCTCCCATCTCGACTCGATTTGTGGCATTGTGTCTCGACTTTCATTGGCAGGGATTGAGCGTTTGATGACGGTTGTTAGTGTGATAGCGCATAGTGCGTCGATCTTTTCTTGAAGTCTCGAGTGATTGTTATGCGTCAGTCAGGTACAAGTTTCATCGAGATGTCCATCTGTGATGCTAGAATCGAGTCATGACTGTTGAATACATCGGCTCTTACTGCCCAATTGATCTTGCAGTCGTGTGAAAGGTGAGGCGAAGAGTGGCTTCCCAGGCACACACGTATTCTCCAGTGAAAAATTTATTCATGATTTACAGCTACGTCCACATATCGTACGAGCAAGCCTTCTGTGTAGGTAGACGGTCGCCGCGTATTCAGCGAACGGGGGGCGTTAGCACGCGGACAGCGGCCCGGTTAGGCCGGGCGCTCGGCACACGCACGCACACATTCAGAGGCAGGTATGGTATACACAGTCGGCGCTGTCCGCCCGCCCGGCCCTCTCCGCAGACCGCCGGCGGCGCAGCACGCTAAAACTCACGTAAACAATGGACATGGCCGGCTCTGCGGCACCGGTAGAGTTCATATTGTCGGCTATAGTCGGCGGCAAAACGCCCGTGCGGTCGCCAGTATCCGTTCTCGTCATGACGCCTCCCATCGGCACACCCGTCGGCCGCTGACGGTTGGTACCGCTCGTGAAAGGCGGGCTCCGCGTCCACTCCTGTCCGGCTCGGTCCGATAGTGTCCACTCCTGTCCCGGCTCGGTCCGATAGTGTCCACTCCTGTCCCGGCTCGGTCCGATAGTGTCCACTCCTGTCCGCCTCGGTCCGATAGTGTCCACTCCTGTCCCGACTCGGTCCGATAGTGCTCACTCCTGTCCGGCCCGGTCCGATAGTGCTCACTCTGTCCGGCTCGGCCCGATAGTCTCCACTCCTCGGTCCAACTAAAGTCTCCACTCCGACTCAGTCTCGTAAGCGGACGCCCTCAGCGGGTCGCCCACCGGCACTATTCAATCACCACTGCGCACTGACCCGACCCTCCTCCCTACCCGCTCACCCGCCCATCACGAACCACTCCACTCTCTTCCCAATCACCTCTCATCCTCGCCGACTCCGCCGTCGCCGATTCTAGTCTACAATAATACAATCATCACAATCGGCGGACGGCGGACGGCGGCACTTCCGTCCTAGTGATCCGCCAGGCGCCGCGTCGGCGTTGGAGGTCGTATTATGGCTGGAAGAGCGCGTCGATGTCGGCGAAGGCACAGGCGCCGAGCCCGGAGCGGGCCATCAGTGCCACCAGCTCCTTGCTGTGAGAGAGCGCCACCTCGAGCGGCGGCCGGCGCGGCAGGTTGTCAGAGTCTGATGGAGAGATTAGGCACGGTCAGAATTCGGTAGGCGGAGGGGCGGACAGTCCATTTGGAACAAGGACGGTCCACAATCAGAACTGAAGGAACAGGGGAACGACGGGTTGGTCACGGTAAGTCGAGCTGATGAGGGTGGGGGGTCGTGGAGTTAAGGGGGCTATTACGTGAGATGTAGACACAAACCCATCAATACAATCCACACATGCGTTAAGCTCTAAAAAAAATCAATTACTTTGCAAGTCGCTTCTGTAAGAAAGGCAGCAGACTGAACGAGAGCTGTCGATCACCCGAAATTATATTGAATACCATCCCCAATGGATGAAAATTAATTGCAAAAAGAAAACTATTAATAATAAAAAATAGAAAGTCTGATGATATCAGTGTGATATCAGTGATATCAGTGATATCAAACAACAAGTGAATACCAGTCACTAATTGGCTTAAATAGGCCCGGGTCCAGCTTTTATTCCTCTCCCTGCGCCAGCACGTGTTCAGTCCGCGTCTTACTGAGGATTGCCGAGTTGAGCAGTGAGCAGGCGGTTTCGCGCTGTACCGGATCCAGCTGCCATTTGACCGGACTGCACCACGGGTCGGCGTACGCCAGCAGACTGAACGCGTCCTGTAGGTGGGCGCCGGAAGGGACGGTCAGTCAAGGGGAGAGTAGGTTGGACCCCCTAGGTAGTCGGGATGCTAACTAGGTGCCATGATATGACAGCACGGGAGGCTGGGTACGCCGGGATTGGACGGTCGGTCTAAGGACTGGGCTGGGTATGGTAAAACAGTCAGTCTGGGTCTAAGGGCCTGGTTACGCCGGGGATATTACAGCCATAAGTCCACTTTTTATCTGGGGTAGCAGTCAGAACGAAAGGCTTGGTCTTTACTGGGTGGTCAGATCCATGCATTACCTGATCGAGACCACTGACCAGTGAGAAACTCCAATGGCGACATCCATAGCCCCAAACCTTACCAAACCAAACTTTACCCCTCGCCATCAATTCCCGCTATCACATCTGCCCTCCACAACTCCCTCTTCTCCATCCCACCGACCCACCACGCACCTGCAGCAGGTTCTTATTATAGTCGTTCTCCCCCTGTTCGGCCCGCAGTCGCATGTAGAACAGCTGCAGCTCGCGGCCGAATTTGAGCACCTTCTCCAGGGCGGAGGTGCTGCCGCCACATAGCACGCGCTTCTTGACTGCCGCCGGGGATTCGGTCTCCGATGGCCGGTCGACGTCTGAGGGAACGGCGGGGAGACGGTGAACGGAAACGACGCGATAAACATCGAGGCTAATAAATAGTGCCAGCTACATGTCAAAATTGACAAGTAACATGGTAACAAGCGACGAAACACGAACGCCATACTGTCGATGTACGAAGTCCATTGTAAAAAAATCGGAATCAGGGTCTTTCTACTGGATACTTGTTCGCTACAATGTTTTCAAACGCCTCCAGTTAGCCTATCTACGCCACTCATGCGAATCCAGGCAAGTCCGCTGATAGGTAAGCGAGGCGAGGGCGAAGACCGCAGCTGACCCAATGGCGAATGTTTGTATACTTGCCCTGACACAGTTACGAGGCGAGCTTACGATAAACACGTGTTTGGTGATTTTATCACGCCGATCAACGGGTCGCGCTCGGGGCGGCGGGAAGTGTTAGACGCAATAAAACAGCTGGTGTTGGTAATACAACAAATTTACCGTCGAAGCCTATCAGCCTCGCACAGATGGCGGCTGACTTGACCGTAAGTCAGCAGACAATACTGGCCCAGACAGGACGTACACAGATGCGTCACTGCAGCGCTATTCCGCTGCCCACAATCTCACGTAATCCTTCACAACGCACCCAAAAGCTGGCCCAACTGCAGTTAGCTTCTGCATTGTGGAGAACCCGTAGATCATTCACTGCCAGCTTTCCTACCTGACTTCAGTTATAAATTGAAGCCTGGATCTGACAGGCTTGTGAGCCCAACTAACAGTCCTGCCTCTCACGGCGGAATTAACCCCCTTTTCTCACCTACCACTTACCGTTGCCGTCACCGTTCGTCAGGTCAACTGTCACACTGTCCTTCACCTAACTCTACCGTCCTTCACCGCCCGCCAGCCTCCCTCTTCCTCTCCTCACCCATTTCCTCGTCGTGCTCGGTCTGCGAGTGACCGTTGGAGAAGCCGTTGCTGTGACTGCTGCTGCCATCATCCCCGCCGCTGCCGGCCGAGTTGTTGGCGTTCATCTCTGCCTCGGTGAGTGTCCGTGTCGACTGGATTACCGACGTCTGGATGGCTCGCTGCTCGGAAACCTGCCAGCATTGAGGAATGAGATGGTGCTAAGATGAAACAGACGGATAATCGCCGTTGCATTATCAAAAAAGCGACATTGGGGACACAGACTAAACTCGGCTGCTCCGTCGTAGACGAGGAGTACGTCCGAAGTGTTTGCATCTGCCAACAATGCCATAGCTTCTGTATTTTCCAATTCCTAACAATGGCTCTAACTTAACCGCAGTCGGCCTAGCAGCGATAAAACACGGGTCTCTCTAAGGTCCCTTCATGCTACCCAGTACCCACTCCTGCCTCCCTAACCGGCTTTATCCATTTCCTTGCCTTCAGGCTTCTAGCCACCTCCATCCTAACCACCCACTAACAACCCATCCAGCGGACGCCGCCACTCACCTCCGAATCGGTGCCGTTGACCATTTCGATGAACTGCCGGACGCGCAGCATGAACAGCAGGCTCTGCTGCTTCTCCAACAGTCCCGGGTACAGGCGCTGTGTCAACTCGATGGCCTCACCCATCCGACCCGCCAGCACCAGCATCTGAATCTCTGCGGAGAAAGTGCGAAATAGGAGCGTCAGGGCAGTGCGTAGCTATATAGGCACACACATTCGGTGAACACGAACTCGGTCCGACGTAACCTTTTTATGGTGTTTCAGCGAACCAAGCTTTTCGTAAAATTACCAGCAGTATGCGGAAACTTGCGTCAAATTTTAATCGTAGCACAGAATATGTTATGGATGTGTAGTAAGGAGTATTCTGGCATGTAGAGGTCTCAGGTATCTACTAAAATTATATTTGGGCGTTTTGAAAGCTCTGAAGAAACAAAGGTGACGTAGCACGCCACAAGCGACAGACAACGCCAACGGCACTCATAATCATGCAGGGGAACATCGCGTTAACAACATATGCGGAGTGGCGTTCACCCTCCAGCTGTCAGCAGTAGCACCAACCAAGATATGAACTATGAACGCCCTGGACTGGTCCGCTCACTGAACGTTAGCATGAGAGGAGATTGTTACACGACATGGTTACATCAGATATCCGTCAGGCGGGCTCCATCAACAAAACTGAATGCCAGCCTGACACCCACCACGTCAAACAAAGTACCTACAACGGAAGCAGGATATATCTGCGCTTCGCACTGCGTAGTTCACCATCCGTACCTGTCAAAACGTTTACAGAAATAACTGAGACCACCCACGCAGTGCGCCTATCCCGGAAGTCCCTTCCCCGGTGTGCGCTGGTCGCGCTCCGTACTCACTTTGTCGACTTCTGATGGAGGCCAGGTCCTCGCCGATGCCAATACCCGTACTGTTGGCAAACGCCTCGGCTGTGGAGCAGTACCCGTGGTGCACCAGGTACGTTTGTACCATCCTGTCAGAAAATTAGCGAACACACGCACACACACAGAAAGAGTCAGTAAGATGGTGCGGGAGAGTGGCAAAGTTTTCGGCTGGCCTGAGATGTCAATGTAGTTGGTCAACATGCACGAATCGCCGATTTTTTAACGATTTTATGAATGGTTTCACATTCTTCAGGTCGCATCGAAATACCCAGCAGTCACTCCGGAAATCAACTTAAAATTCCATCTGTTAAAATATATGATCATATAGGGACTAAGCGTGTCGCTAATCCTAATACGCTCATTGGAAACGGGCTTCCAAAAGTTCGTAGCGTCCACCGCCCGTCTGCTGCTGAGGGGTGCCACAAGGCCCACTGGCCCACGGAGGCCCACTGCCCCCCCCCCCCCCAGGCTCTCAGCTATATCACGTCACCCACCCTCAGCGCCGTACCTGTGCAATGTCTCCTGCCAGCAGCTGAGCGCATCCGGCACCGGCAGACTCTGTATGGTGGTGCGCACTCGGGCGCGCAGCTCGCGCATCATATCCTCGATATCGTACACGAACGGCGCCTGGCCAAAGTTGGCGTCGATGGTCTCTCCGGGCGTCTGTAGGCCGACGGTCGGGTAGAGGTCCGACTGCCGGGTCCGGCGGGGGCAGTTAGTACCCGAGCTACACTGTCGGAGCACACCGGTCCGTGGGGAGGCGCGTGAGACCGGGGGGACAGGGGTCACAGAGAGGTCAGTAGGGTGAACAGCGAGCTGAAGGGAAAGAGAAGGGAGAGCAAATAAACGAGAAGCAGGAGCGAAAAAAACAACAACTTAGTGCAGCTGTTGGAAACGCGAAAGACTGCTGCAAGAGTTATTTCATATCAAAGCTTTAATCAAATTAGCCATTTTATGATGACACAAAACAAACGTCATCGCGAAAACAAAAATGTTACAACAAAAACAACGATAATATCAATATGGAAGCAAGAAGAGGCTAAACGTAACCGTTAAGCATAAGCGAAAACGGTTGTAACATCCGGTATATTATGCACAGAATAGCGGCAGTAAGAGACCAAGAGGATAGTCGTCACAGTACAAGATAAGATACGAGGCTAAGAACAAAACAAGAACCAAACAACACGAACAGACGAGATAGCTAGAAGCGGGCAAGAGCCTAGAAAGATAAAACTTGAGAAACATCTCAACAATTTTCCAAACAAGCCGATAAGCTCAAAAGCAAGCGGGTATGCTAGTTGAAGGAAGGGAATGAAACCGAGAAAAAAGAACCGGAAATAGAAATAAAAGCAGGAGCAATCGTCCACATTTAAACGATGCTAAAGCGCACCTGTCCCGGGAAAAGTAAATGCGCATCACACATGGATCAGCGGCCGACGCCCACAACCAAATCCGTTTGTGATGCGCAGTTACTTTCTCGTATATCTGCGATAGCTGTGTAGTGGATGAAGCTGGGTTGGGAGGGGCGGGGAAGGCTGGGGTGACACTGCCTATCATTGGACGCTGACAGTGTGCTGTCCAACACCAGACAAATGTCATCGGTCTCCGGTGTCGCAGTCATGCACAGTGTGATTGGCGGGCTCATTTTCAGACGGAACAGAACGCCACACGCGAGCCAACGCCGTAATATCCAGAGAGCTTACAAGTTACCGAACTAATAAAACAGCGTTCTTGGTTGAGAAGATAATATACACAAATTTCCCAAGAAGAATCGTCCTCAGGCAGATAGAGTATTCTTTCATTACGTTATCAAATGGTGCAAATTAAGTTACATCTCTCTTGCACCCCATTCATCTTTCCCATCTACCAAAGCTGCACATCCACAGCTGCGCCCGTTCCCGCACCTGCCCGAACCGCCAGTCACCCCTCACCCCCGCCCCCGGGTATAGCTCACATTATGTCTCACCCGCAGGTCTGTGAACGCGATGCCCAGGTGGTGGCCGTTCTTGGTGTAGAAGCACGTGTTCTCCACCAGGTTGACGCCACAGCCAATCACATCACCCGTGGTGAACGTGGGGCCGTACGGCTGCCCGGTGGTGGTCGAGTTGAACGCGTACCCGTCGTCACCATGGTAACCGTACGAGTATTTCTCCCAGCCTGTCGAGACACAAAGTATGGATGATTTGATTGTGGATCAGTTACGGTCAGGAAAACGATTACGTGGAAACACGACCCGCAAGATATATCTTTGCAACTGGAGTGGCGCAATAACTGGCGCATCCACAGAATGAAACGGGCGTAAATTAGCGGTAGACAGCGTCTATAAAGCAATAACGAACATCAAATCAGGAATACGCTTACGACGGGATAGGAAAAAATCACTTTTACATTTCACTTTTCAGAGACTTCTCTTGCAGCTGAAGCTATTAATGCATTTATAGTTAGGTGGTCGGAGTCTCCATTAAAAAAGGGCAGATGAACAGTTCAGTCACACTGTCCAGGGCACTCCTAATATACGGCCTTGAGGGCACTCTGGATTTCCATAGGATTCATTTTCGCGCGACATTACGCTCATCGGTGCTGAGTTTTTTTTTCTTCTAACAGGGGTGATCCTATTAGCCACCCTAAATCAATGAAATAAATTAGGACGCAGTATCTTCATGAGACATATGGCCTTCGTTACCAGGGGCAAGTCAATCTGATCAATCCGATCAATGACACGCGAACGCGCCACACCAGACCATACCGGCTTCAAAGTTCAAACTGCGTAACAGATCCCGCTCAAATTACACAGACGATGGTAAACACACCGGTAACAACTAACAAGTGTACAGAGAAAACGGAACAATGGAAAGATGAAGATATCTCATGCTTATTGTGCGAGAGCTTTAGGTTCATGTTTCATTTAAAAAGTCTGTCGTGGAACGAGTGACGTACTTCACGTCATTGCCATATTGCGTGAACGTTTATAAACCAGGCCGCCGATTACACGACTTCAACTCCCTACTAACAAAACCTCACGTATCATGCTACACATCAATATTAATGGCCCATTCAAAGTGCTGCACACATCGCTTCATGACAATGTCAACAGAACTAAACAATACGGAAGCATTGGGAGAACAGTGCCCTGCAATAGCGACATGGTTCACCAGTCACCTAGCCAAGTCAATGATAAGTGAATCGATGGCCGCAAGTTCGCGCAGCTTGTGCACTTTGCGTCGCTGACGAGTCCTAGATCCTAAGCACACTTCCGTGCAATCGACAAGTGACGACGGCTAGCAAACTGACCTAGTTTATGTCCCTTAGGACCTCTGTGCGCTTTCATACCGTCATTAAGCCACAACTGCCGACTTGGGTTGAGTTTATGTTACAGGAGTCTGATCGTTCCCATACACAGCCCCTCGATGACAACATGACTCTCCAGCCGCGTTTCAGCCGGTGAATCACGTGATCAGAGTTCAAACCTCGCCAGGACCCATGCTTTTATCTTCTCTCAATGCACCAGCTGCATGTGCTGAGCATTGCTTGCGCGTGGTCACTCGCATTTCATTATCACGCCAAAAATAACGATCAACGCCAAATTTATGGAGCCACAGGCCCACTGTGCGTTTCTAACGCCTCCCGACTCGCGGTTTGTGCGTTCCCGGGTGGCCGAGTGCGTTTCCCGGCCGCAGCCCGGGGCGATGCGTCGGTCGGCTGGCGGCGTCTCCCTCAGTGACCTTCGGACTGCGGGGAGCCGGGCCAGAGCGAGCCAAGGCCGTGTGCCGCCGCAGCAGAGCAGGTAATCACGAGGGAGTGGATGCAGAGAGGGAGAGGGAAAGGGAGAGATGGGGAGAGGGAGAGATGCAGAGGGAGAGAGATGGGACAAGGAAGGAGAGGGAAAGGAAAAAGGAGACAGAAATAGATGGATGAATAGAAAGAGTGAGAGAGGGAGAAAGAGCCTGATAAATACGATAAAAGGGAGCGTCGGCCGGTATGTTACGGATCTAACGGATGTTAGAAGCGTAAAAATGCTGGTTGAGGTATCCGTGTACAAAATATCCGTTTACATATATTTAATCCTGTAGTCTATTATAGAAAGGTGGATTGAACGTCAAGAAACCCTTAAAAGTGGCGTAACGTGAGTGGTTATTAATATTTACCGGTAGAGTATGCATCGCTTGCCGTCTTATCGCGCAAGAAAACACCACATTCTCTCCCCTTCAAAGCTTTGAAGGCTGCACTTTCTGATATCACTCTGCCTTATTGATTTTTTCTCGACCCCGACTGGGCAATGTTTTGGCGCATCTCTCAACTTCAGAATCGGCGATAATCACCATGCCCTTGAAAACATGTAAGAATGGTGTACTCTTAGACGGACTCAGACGCAGGGTACATCCGTGTTCTCCATTTTACTCACCTGACAGTCTATTGAGACTAGCATCTTGCTGAAATAGACCGATTTCACGGTACATCTATTGCCCCCTCCCCCCATCACTCATTCAGCAGTCTGTTGAGACTGGTGCCCTCTCACTCACCTGGTGGCTGGTAGTCTGTTGAGACTGGTGCCCTCTCACTCACCTGGTAGTCCGTTGAGACTGGTGCCCTCTCACTCACCTGGTAGTCTGTTGAGACTGGTGCCCTCTCACTCACCTGGTAGTCTGTTGAGACTGGTGCCCTGCTGAGATAAACCGATTCCCATGTACCTGAAACGCGACAGAAAAGTTAGCCAGGATGTCTGAACAAGTCCCTCTGACTACTTTTTCGACCATTTGAATGGTTTTAGAAATCATGATCTGGTGAATTCAAAACATCAGAAGGTCGCGAAGGTTTATAAAGCTTTATCGACATTACGTTTACCCAAAGTGATAAGCAAAACAATACATCGGTAGTGAAATGTCGCATACGGTATGAACGCCTATGACACTGGCGCATATGGGTAGATTTCACTTCTAGTGAACCACAAACATGGTCTATGATGGGTGATTGAAAAGCTGGGGCGATTTGCTGATACTGTCAGTCGCCGACATCTCGCCTGCCCGAGACCCGAGTTGCTGTAAGAATACCGCTAACGGAATGACAGTAAATAAAACTTGCGTTTCCGATTACATGATATGCTGCAATATGCAACTGTGCAGCTGTCTTGCAGCTGTGCTTTTTAGGGGAAAAAAATCCAATAGCACAGTGCGTCCGTCGATGCGAGATTATAGCTGTCTTGACGTTTTTCGATGATAGATCAGCCTCAGGCATCATACAAGCCAGATTAAATATCTATTTATCCACAGGTTTAGCTAAATGTGACCCTTGGTTCACATCAGATCAGGTCGCCAGGTATTGCTTAGTCATCTCACCTCACAAAACAAACTTTAGTTCACCTCAGTTCCCCTCAGGAAGGGTTCCCAGTCACGATACGTAATCTTGCCTTATCAGCGAAGGTTTGGCCCTCAATTCACATAAAATCAGGTCACCAGGTCATGCTAAGTGACATCACTTAAAGACCAGACTGTTCTAAATCAGCAAGGGACTGATCAAGAAAAACCAATATTTATATTACTGACTGAACATAGGAATGAATCAGTTAGGTTTTGTGACCACTGACCACCATACCAATGGAAGTCAATTGCAAACAATTTATCAGTCCCTTTTTGCACCAAAGACATTATAACTGCTCACAAGCATGCTGTAGGTATTCTAACACAGATGAACCCACATCATGCCTCTGAGATTATGTGACATCAAATGGCACTTTGCCAGTCAGGTCAAGAGGTACTGACAGATTTAGATAATAGCTTTTGTTGCAAGCATACATCTTACTAGCATGAAAGCAGAGGATCATTCAGCAATATGAATTTACTTATATGAAGCATGGCTTATTTTTCCAACATATATTTTTGCAACTTTGAACTGGGTTGAAGTTTCAAATGTCATGCCTTGACCAAAGTTAAATTTAGCTTTTGCTTCTATTTCTTGAGATAATTTTCAGAACCTTACATCTGTTTCATGCTGAATGAAGTGACTGCTTAGAAAAGGATAGCTCTGATGTATCTAACTTCTTCTATCTATTCAGCCTTCTTTTTATCTCTACTTCAGATTGGTAGGTATTGAAAATGGACCACTTATCTTGTCAAAAAGACAATATTCCTGTAGTACCAAATATTGATAAAAGCCCTCCAGCTCAAAGACAGATGTACTGACCATTTCATATAAGCTTTGTCATTTGTTCTCAGTATTCATTCTTCACATTCAGCACATTCTTCGATCACCAAAACACAATTTACTGAAGAGGGCTTGCACCATTATACCAGCCATCTTCTTTGATTAACCTTGCATATTGTCAATCATATTGGTTCATCCACTTTACATTCAGGCAAAACAAAAAAACACAAAATCAGTGTTTTGGCATACAAAGGCTATCATTTGGGCACTTACCCATCCCTTCCTTTGCTGACTATCTTCACTTCAAAATAATACAGGCCACAGGCTGGAGGGATCGGATGACTAGCTCGTACACTTGCAGCATCTTTATTTGTTTTTCCGTTGCCTGTGGGCAGTCAAAATTGTAAGTCAGTTTGTGCATAGATCATTGTTACGAAAGGAGGAGGTGAGATTGATAGGTCATAGCATTACACACTATTCTGATAATGAAATAGTCATTTTCAACTTTTTAAAAGTGATTCAGATTACCTACAATTGGAGTGGAAAATGAAATAATTTGTCATGTTTAGCCATACATACAAATAAAAGCCAAATACAGTATACTTATTCAAGCCATCATATTTCTTGGGCCAGATAATTTACAAATGTATTCCTGCTTGTGCACTTACCTTTGTAGTGTGCCCTCAGATTGTTTTGAGTCAAACCAACATCTTGGAATTTATCTTTTTGACTCCAGCATGTAGGCAATGGTGTTTCCTTCAAATCAACCATAGGATATAGCTGTTTCAGACGCTTCACAAACTGATCTTGTCCAATTGCACAGAGGTCCATTTTTGCCTTTTTGTTTTTGTGTGTCACTGTGCACCAAGGGATGGAAATGGCGCAAGGCAGTCCTTTACCATCAAATAGACACTAGTATTGCACTCACTGCGACCTGAACTGTCCTCAAATACAAATACGAAGTCTTTTTAGTAAATTCATGATAACGTATTGATGCCTAAAATCTCCACAGTAATCTAAATTGCGTTTTAACTTGGCCCTCTCTCTGTGACTCGCACGCACGCACCACTTCCACAACAAAACCACATCGCAACAGCTGACTGCCGATGCGCTCTCGGCTCACAGCTGTTCGTATACACAAAGAATACTACTGCGTCATGACAATAGCCCACTAAATATGCACTCCCATGTAATTCATACTAATTACGCATACTAGATGTCTCTCGCTATGCTTATTTAATGGATAAAGCTTCAAAAAAATGTGTTCTAAAAAATCAAATTTATCACAGTTTGTCTTATACGAAATCGCAAGTCATACTGCCTCAGAGATCAATGGCAGATGACTGAACACACACTAAAAAGCTGCCGGTCTATTTAAATTAAAGGCCAGGGACATGTTGTCAACAAAGGGCTTTGTATAGCATAGCACTGGTCCCAGTTCCGAATTAATTCAAAATAAAAGTGGTGCTACGGGTGGTCTTGAGTCGTAGACATGCTACCAGAAGAAAAATCAGTCCAAGGCAACGCTATCGCCAGAGCTTCAGATCTATAAAGGTCTTCTTTTGCTGGGTAATGGGTATCACTTATCAGTCTCAGCTCAAGCGGATCCTGAGAGGGGGGGGGGGGGGCATCGATATGCAAATGCTCTATCAGCGAACGATTCTGATTATAAATGGCTACCTTTTTACCTCTGCAAATTAGGAAAAGTTACCCTGAAAGGCCATTCCCCGAGAACCCACACCTACACCCATGCGAGTTGATCTCGTATGACCTCGTGCTCGTGTGAGGTCGCGGAACACTCAATTGGTCATAAGAATGCACCAGATATTCATGCACCAACAGGTGTTTGTAATTTTCCTGGCGACATTAACACAGCCACCGCCAGAAGGTCTCCTCGCCGAGTTCGTAACAGCACACCAACCGGAGTCCCTCCATCCTCCGTCCGTGCTTCATCCATCCGGCTCCCGCCCGCCTCCCATTTCCATTCCGTCTGCACTTCGTCCTTGCATGATTCGAACTCTGTACGCAATCCTAACATCACAGGACTCGGACAGTGCCACTTCCGTGTCGCCTGCTTAGCCATCATCGCTCGGCAGTTGTTCATAGACGTGCTAACATGATGCTTGAATTAGTTAGAGTATTCACGTTTAGCACATTGCAGACAATCTCTACCTACAGTCTACAGGCACATTGATCCAGATGTATAACAGACACCCAGGCCATAGCTAACACCGGACAACCAGCTCACTCATCTGAAGTGAAGAGGAATATGAATTCAGAGGGTGCGTAAAAACAAAAACGGCAGTTGACAAGTGTTTATTGATACGTTCACAATGTTACATCACAGTAAAGAGCACAGCTGACACCGAGAGCACGATAGACCTTCGACCTACCAGATTTGAGAGAGTGTAACCTGCAAAGAGAGGAGCACAGTGAAAGCGTAGCGAATGTGAACTTCCTCGCCATCGCGCTACAGCAAGGTGTGTTGATAAACCATCATAAACATAACAATGTCAAAATACAATAAATTAAACGGTTAGCACAGATCGTACATAAGTCTGCACAAACGGGAATGGTGTCAGCTTAAAGCATCCAGGTAGCGTCTCTTCGTCAGCTTTGAGCCATGACTGTGATCCATAAAAATACGGTGCGCACAAAATACTGTTAGTATGCAGCTCCCACTGCCGCCCGTGTGAAATTTTTAGTAAGTACCCCAAGTCACAACTGACCTATAATTGATTAGGAAATAGGTAAGTAGGTACCTATCGTAAATCAAGATAACTTATGGTTCAGACTTCAATGTCAACTAAATGTCAAATAATTTTCGTCAGTCTGGCACTTATCAATTTTCGACTTGACGACAACTGCCGTGGGCGGGCCTCGCATAGACTTCCTAAAAAATAACGTGAACAATAAGTACATACAGGGTGCAACATTTAGGTGCTAACTATAAAGCATTCGCTTCAGTGATATTTTGTTGATATGCGCCATTATTACATCTACCTATTCTCAATGTAAACATCAGCCACTTGGGGCATAAATAATCACCAGAGATTTCGCCCAGCGTATTCTGATAGTCTGGCATGAAAATAACTCAGATCTGGCAAGTAAACAATGGAGTAACACCACAGCTAAACAATCGAGGCCGATCTTAGCCGCATATGAAATCTCAGCTGGATAATCATTTTGGGATGCCAAGAAATCAATACAGATATAATTTGAAACTTCATATAACGTGACGTAACATATTATGCCATAAACGATATAAACAACTTACGAGAGAGATATTCGGCATAACATCCAAAAACCTGGCCCACATGAAAAGCAAGAAACTACGATCAACTAGCTTATGATTAACTAACAGCAAACATCGCTGTTTTGGCGCTCTTGCGTTTTGGTCATCTTTTTCGCACAACCACAAGGACGGATAAACGGACATGTCTCCGACAAGAATCTAATCAAACTAACGCAAATCAGGAACTAATGAATCATCTATGCGAATCTAACATAGGTGATCTACGACTAGAAGCTATCGCATAATTCTATAGGCAAGATGCAACGGAGCTGTGAGACCGAATTCAAACCTGCACCGACTACCGAGAGACTAATGCCTAATCATGAACCAAGTTTCCTTCTACGAAGTGAACACAATGAACCTGTGAAGTCACCAAACAAGCTAATAACTAACTGAGCTGTGAAACCATTGTAACAATCAACTATCTACTCAAGGTGGTCAGTTTGGGATAAGACGATGGAGTTGGGTCCAAACTTTCATGTACAAGCCCAAATTCCTAATCCAGGTTGTACGCATCTGCTGTCACAGCTTGTAAAATGTACGTGGATAATAAATTGGCACCGTACGAAAATGGTCCACACAACTGATAACACATCCAAGGAGGTAACTACATGGACAATTGGACAGCATGTGGTCATATGTATCGAAAATATGATACACCTAATAACACAACATCGAAGCTAAACGCAACCTGACAGTAACATCTTACTGCAATAAAAATGAATATAGGTTTCAAAAACAAACAATAATGCATAGTGAGCGAACGCAAACCAATATGAGGTGAGCTCTTAGCAGCTATACTAAGCGTGAGCTAAAGCAATAAACGCAAGCATGAACAAAAATAAAGCACTATACCATTGGCTAGCGAGACATATAGCATTGGCGACTCGAAATAAACCGCTCGGTAACCGTAACAAAATCATTCGAACATTAGTCGGGGGTGAGATTAAATAAAGGCACTGCCTCACTCCCGTAACCAATATACCAGACTGACTGCTTAACTGTTCCAACCGGGTCAGGTCAATTATGGTTCGGGTGTAACGGATACGGCAAACATTGCGAGGATTGACCCCCGATGAATACCGGGCCAAGGACAGTGCCTTGAGTGGTGGAAGTACGTACAAAGGACGTCAGGAATGGGTTTGGCATACTGCTAACCGCCACGTGGGCCACATATTACCAATCATCAAATCAGGCCAATGGGCACCGGGGTAGGACAGACATGTGGATTGATATCAATACCAATATCGATATCTGGGAACTACAGGTTAGCAGCTGTGGTCATCAGACTATGCTGGGTCAACCGATCACGTGATAATTTGGCAGTTACATCTGGATACCTAAGCCTGATGTAAGGTGATGATGGCCCAGACAACATGGTTAGTCAGACTAACATTCAAGCTGGCAGATACCGACAGCTGAGGGCAGACATCAGGTGGGGACGTTTGCTGAGGCCGCCGGTAGGGGGCTACCACCGGTGGACAGGGGTCGGGTGCGGGCCCAGGTCCGTCCGCCACCGCCCCGCCCGCTAGCCCTGCTTCAGCGCCATACCCAGATAGTTAACCTCGAGCGGCTGGTCCCGAATATTCACCTGCGTCCAGGCCTGGGTGGCAGAGGAGGCTCGGACCGCCTCCATCACCGCCGTCACGTACTGTCCGTCCTGGAACGAGGCGGCCTCGGCCAGCGGCTCGCCAGCCGAGAACGAGCCGGCCACTGCCGTCAGCAGTCGGAGGAGTCCGGCGGCGTGCAGTGCCGGCTGCGGTCCGGCGGCAGGCAGCGGCGGCGCCGCGCCCTCCTCGGCCGCCGCCCGGTGCAGCGTCTCGTGCTGGCCGGCGCGGAACCCGGCCAGGTCGGCGCCGCGCAGCGTCAGGTGTCCCCAGTCGCCGCAGACAGTCACCTCCTGCTGCAGCCCCGACAGGTGCGCGTTCAGCGACACCGTCACCAGCGCGCCGCCGTCCATCTCCATCTGGAACGAGCTGAAGTCGTCGCTGGCCACGTGTCGTATACCGGCGATCAGTCGCGTCTGCCGCGTGTACGTGCGCAGCGTGCCGTGCACGCGGCGCGCCCGCTGTCCGATCACGTGGCTGACCAGGTCGATGACGTGGCTGCCGATCAGAGAGAGCAGTCCGCCGCCCATGGCCGGCTCACAGAGCCAGCTGTAGCCGGAGCCGTCCAGCAGACTGCCGCAGGTCACCCGCGCCTCCACCAGCCGCACGTCGCCAACATACCCGTCCCGCACCGCCTGCCGCATCAGCTTGACGGCCGGCAGGTAGCGGAGTCCGTAGCCGACGACAGAGAGCAGGGACGGGTAGTACTGGGCGGCCAGTACCATCTTCAGCAGCTCAGACTGACACAGGCCGGCCGGTCGGTCGCACACCACGTGCTTGCCGATGCCCATGGCTTTCACGGCGATTTGAGATTGAAGACTAGGAGGTGCAAGAACCAGTACGAGGTCGACGTCTCGCCGTAGTAGGACGTCATCTACTCGGGCAGTGTGGTAGTCGATCTTGAGCGCGGCTGGCGGCGGAGAGAGGGGAGAGAGGGAGCACAGAGGAGAGAGAGAGAGAGAGAGAGAGAGAGAGAGAGAGAGAGAGAGAGAGAGAGAGAGAGAGAGAGAGAGAGAGAGAGAGAGAGAGAGAGAGAGAGAGAGAGAGAGAGAGAGAGAGAGAGAGAGAGAAGCGGGAGGAGAGAGGAGGAGAACCGGTTAGACGGGTGATGAAGTGCATGACAAGGAAAACCGACCTTACATACGGCGGTAAATTGCTGAAATATTTTTACACACGACACGGTACACAATTTCCTCATGCATAAGAGCAGGGCAATTAAAAACAATGCAAATCGGTACGCCTGTAAAAGTAATCAGAACCCAATGATATAAGCACATGATTATATATTACATAAAAGGGTATTTTTAAATAAGTAATAAATTATCATAAAACTAATCCTAAAAGGAATTGTAAGGAAACTTGAAGCATGAACCAGGGACGTTGCAGCAAATGAAAAGAGCAATCATACCTGCTGTCTTGGCAGCATCGTCGAGTGTTTGGCCCCACAGAGCTACGACGTGGAACCCTAGTGAGCGGAGGTGGGGCACCACCGCTTCCAGCAGCTTCCCCGTGCCAAACACACCCACTCCGGGCAGCATGATGGGCTTATTTCATACTCTGAAACACAGTGGCGCAGATAATTATCAATGACTCAGCCTATTCTAATGTAGGCAGACGAGTATTTTAGTGAGTTGGAAATTGGAACAGGCACTAGATACCCGCAAGACATTAGACAGACAAAGCTTGAGTCAGCCGGTCAGCCCACATATTTAGAATTAACCCTCGCCCGTATAAGGGGGGGGGGGGTCGAACGAACCCCCTTCGGTTTTTCGCGAATGACTCGCGTAAAAAGCGACCGATCGCGACGAAACTTTTAGTACCCTCGAGTTTATACATTTTACATCTACCCTGAAAATTTCATGACTCTAACCACAGCGACCTTCGACCTGTGACCTATTTCTCGAGGCCATGTTTGGCCGGAATCGCGATTCGGCGCATGTCGGCTCGCATTATAGCCGCACGTTTGCAGTCTTTTCATAGTTTCAAGCGTTAAAACATGTTATCTGATGCTAGTCCCATGCATTACGGTGGGTGTCAGTCAGGGTCACCGGTCACGTAAGGGTCAGGTCATTGACATTTGATGACCTCGCTTCACTTTTTCGAGTTTTATATGTTTTTTTTTTGGCTAGTTTTTGGCGCTGAATTCGAATTTAGCAACCATTTGAACATTGACGAAGTAGTTTTGGTGCCTTCTTAATATGTTATGAAGCTGTCCGAGGCGGCTGACACATGCTACGAATACCTACCCGGCAGGACCCCTACTGGTTGACCTGAGTCCTGACCTGACCCAACCTGGCCTAAATGCATGAAAGCATCATCTGTGATCAAAACTAACATGATATTCATGATAAATAATCCTCAGAAAAACCTTGTAGCAACCAAACTTTGCGACGTTCTAACAGGTCCCGATTTTCCCGACTTTTGGGTCATTGACCTGACCTGGAAGGTCACCCAATGACCTAGGACCTTAAAACTGGTTATCATCGGCTTCGTCTCGTCACAGGCAGCACACTCGTTTTTTTTCCGCGAAGCTCTAGCTCAATCAGGGGCCAAACGGCAAGGGGGGTCCAACCAAGGTCCAACAGACCTCCCCCTTATACGTTCGCGGCTGGTAAAACACCGACACGGGCGAGGGTTAAAATGCTCTGAGGGTAAATACAGAAGAGTAAGAAGCATACCTGGAGGCCCTTGAAGTAAATAGATAGAAGGTCAACTTCCCACAATATTTATTACGGATATACCAATATAGACCCCAGATTCCAGAATGTCAAGATCACCCATATCCAACTGTTCAGTAAAACACCAAGGGAATGAAAAAATACAGAAGCTGTTGTTGTCCACCAGGACAGCTTAGTTTTCAACACTGCATGGGGATATTTTTAATTGAAATGTGGCTGAAAAGTGAGAAGTAGCACTGGTCCCTTGCCCTACCATTACTCTGACCTTTGCAGGTAAGAGCAGAATGCAACAAGCAATATTCAATAATATCAGCAACAACTAAACAGTCCTGCTTTATTTGATTCACTTTAATCAAGTGTATTGTTCAATGCTGCTGTCATTTGGATTTTCCGGCTAGTTCACTGCTTGCTATTTTCTTTTTTGTACTCAATTGTGAGGATGCTCAAGAAGCAAATGAATTATCCTCCTCCAAGGCACTACTAACTATTGTCTGTCAAAACTAGAATGTTGCACAAGGCTGCAACAACTACATGCAAGTGCTTGCACCAACAACATTGCATGATTAACATAAACAGTCTACATCAAGGTCTCCTAGAGCTTCATAAGACTATTTGTGATTTGTACATCTCTTTCCTTCATGGCCTTTTTCTGTCTAGTGGATAAACTGATGTTGCCTTCTTTTGTTAAAATGTTGGTAGGATTGATGGGAGACCCAGACCTCTTAGACATGACCTCAGCAGGCTAGCAAAATCATTTTTGCTAAGGCTCAGTTAAGGGTAGGAAAGTTGAGCACATGCTTGATTAGTGTTCATCATTACAGTTGTTAGCCTGTTCAGAGTTAGATCATTGTTGAAACCACACAAATTGGTCCATACGGTAACTAATGCCATTCTCTGGAATGTAACAGTGCCAAATTGTCACTGGACTGTTACAGCATTGATCCAGCCCAGGCCGCATGACTGTCATTCATTGTTTGGCTCAATCACAACAGTTAAGGAGAACTTGAACCTTGACTTGAGGCAAGGAAGATGAAGCAAGTGCTTGTAAGTTGTGCGATGTCAATTAAGGGAAGTTTCCTGAGTGCACTTCAGTATCTTAACTCTTTAGTGTTCAATATTGGGTCATCAACAAGTGGAATACCCGGCTGCCTTCATTTGTTGCTGACCTCAGGCACAGCCGCCCTTGTACCTCCATCATCCATGTCAGACTAGTACTCTGAACACCTGGTAAATAAAAAATTAATCAGAAATTAATCAGGTACACTATCCAGATAAAATGGTATAAGTAAGCCTGGTGTCCCAGGAAAAAGCCAGATACCGCTGCAGGTTGTAGGTTTGAAGGTTTGTAGGGTAGGTTGTAACTTGTAGGTTTGTAGGTTTGTAGGTTATAGGTTTGTAGGTTGTAGGTAAGGTTAGGTCAGGTCAGGTTAAGTTTGTTTTGGTCTATACTGATATATCTCCATCGTCCCAATCTGGCATCTTCCTGGGACGCCAGGCTTACTAATACCGAGAAAACCACTTCTTTGGGTCTTGTCTTGGGAGTCAAAGTTTGTGTAGCCCTGCAAAATTTCCAGGTCAAAGCAAGGTCAAAAGGGTTTTCTGAAATTTCACCCACACACTTACACATCCTATGAAGAATAAATAAGAAAAATAATGACATTGCCAATGCATCATATGTTCTTGATGCTGTACTTAAAAAACTATGGGTCGAAACTATGCGATAAATTAAAGTATATTTTTAGGCAAATTTTAGGTCACATCACCAAAATGAAAAGACAAATAACACAAAACGCCTCAACCTAGAGCCTGCGAAGGCTGCGAAGGATGCCCAAGGACGGAAATGGAAAAGCATGTCGTTTCGCATGTTGAACAATACAAAACAATTATAACAATAAGTTTAAACGATTCAATATTTGTTTTGCAATTCTTACCTTTAATATTTTTAAGCTAGGAGGCCTAAGAAATTTCAAATTTCCCTATTTTCTCGAACCCAACCCATTCTTTGATTTCACGCGTCGCATTCGTCGTCGTTGCTTGTTGACAACGGTTCTTTGTATTTGCTACCAAATTAAAGGAAATTCGATCAAGCTATATTTTCTTTTTTATGATTTCTTGCTTTCACAAATAAAAAATCAAATCTGCTCTTTATAAGAAAGCAATGACTTTTTTGAAAAACATTGATAAATGATAACGAATAGTCGAATCTGCTTAAATATGTTCAAAGTTATCTTTTAAGCTTCTTTTTCGTACACTTGCCAAAAAACTTTTTCTCATTTTCACATTTGGACACATTTAGGGTTGCATAAACCAACGCACCGAAGCCATAAGCGACGCAAGGAAATCTCAGCAGAAAACGGCGAAGCAAGGCGAGGCGCACGGGGCGCGTGGGGCTGGCAAGGCCCTATATACCAGGTAGGGTCGTCCGGCGATTCTACCTTTTCGTGACGTCAGCTCGTGACGTCATTTGGAGTCAAGTCTCGAAGCCCCGTTCAATCCCCATGTAAATGAGCGATTTTCGAAGCACTGTAGAATGAAGTCTGCACAAGATATATCAAACCTAAGTATCTTATCTGAAAGAGCAGACAATTTTCTGCAAGTTATCTATTACGTGTTTTTCGCTAAATCTTTTGCTTTTTTCACAAAAGCGTAAAATGTCCCCCCATGTCTCCGCAGCCTCACTGCCGCCGGCCGCCGCGCGGTCGCGGTAGTGTAGTGGTTAGCGTGCCCGCGCAGTATTCCAAAGGTCCCGAGCTCGAATCTATGCGGTGCGGAACTTTAGTTGCAATTCCAAGCTGAATATACGCACATCCATAATAAATAATTATTCGTATAGCTAAACTGTCACCAAGCTATCCATATAAATTGACTTTACCCAAAATATCGGCAAGATTCTATTCAGGCCCATGTCACTCCACTTTTGATGACATCATATGGGGGCCTCAGGACAATAATGGCGCGGCGCGCCACAATCGCTTCAAAGCTACTTGCCAACAGTTGCCATTTTTGAAAATATTATTTTGAAATAAAGTTCCAAGTAATAAAAACATTGTAATAAAGTTGTTGAATAAATCGATACCATATCTAAAAACTTACTGAAAAATGATTTATTCATAGTAAAAATATAAGCTCGATGCGTTTTTACGTTGCTTTCCTTCAACTGCAGAGGGTTTTTAAATCGTCTATATCTTCAAAACCGGCCATTTCTTAGCATATTGCTGCTTTTTTTTATCGCTAGAAAATTAGTTGGACTTTCCAATGACATCAATGGTTGAGCGATATGTGTAGAGTGTCACCAACAATCTTCAAATGAAGTTAGTCATTTTTACGTTGTAAAGGAATGGAGTACCCCTATCGAGCATCAGGGGTGACGTCACTCAGGATCTGTCTCTGATTGGTCGGCGGGAGAGTGACTGTACCTTCTATAGATGGCCTTGATTCTATTAAAATATAAATTCAAATATGGCGGCTTGGACTGCCGCGTGCGTTAGGCTCCGCCCATAGCTCCGCCCACATGCATGACGTCATTCGTGTTAGTGGACACACGCGGAGATAGGGGACGACAAGGCCCTAAATACAAGGTTGCACGGACTTATTTCTACTAAACCTACCAGAATATAGTTTCACGGTTGATTATTTAAATAATTATTCAATCAAAATTTCTTTATTATTATCTCGTAATCATTTATAAGCAATTTTATAAATCAACTTTCAATTTGCTTGCCTTTTACTAGCAAAATAACTTTTCTAGTATTGGGTCAACATAGTGGTGTAGCAGTAGGAACCACATCTGGCAAAACCCCAATGCCTACATACAGCAGAAAAGCAGCCACCAGGTGTCGCCACAGTCGCCACTTGGTCGCCACACAGATGTCGCGCGCGTCGCCAATCGCCACACTACCGATTTCCATAAGGACGCATATGTACGGATATGTATAGGAAAGTCGCCCTTAAGGATTACGCTTACATCCTTTGCTTATGAGGTCGGTGGTTGGAAATTGGGAGGGGCTCAGCTATTTTCGACCACGGATATGCCTTTATCACATGATGAGGAACATGCTGATAAGCGTTTTATGCGTCATAACAGCACAAAAGTATTTTTAATCATTTTTCAAAAATAGCCGTTCTACCGTATCTTTCAGTGCAAGGTGCCGTCGGTCATCCCCGACGTGACGTCACGCAGGGAATTTGCCAGATTTTCCTACTAGACTTCGACACCCCCTGGGGGACGACATGGGCCTGGGGGCTGGGGCATTTTCTCTCTGGCAGTGGATCGGTTCGGACGTCAATACTCTCTGCCGGTTCCAATTTTGTGAGGTTGTGGCACGGTGGTGTCAGGTGTTGTCGTGGGGTGGCTGTCTCAACCTGCCACCCTTGACCTGCGGTCTGATCTTGCCTCTTCATCAGCCGAGTCCAGCGTCATCTTGGACCGACGCGACCGACAGGCGACGATTTGGATTGTAAAGACCATACATCAAATTCTTGCCATGTTTTCTACTGGAACATGGCATAGACTTGTATTACTTGTACTTTTTTCTCTCTTCAAAGTTGGACGATTTGAAGGTAAGTCAATGGGGTTCCCCAATCCCCAATCAGAATCCAGTACAAGTAACTTTCTCAGTTCAAAGTGGAAGGTGGTTCTGGGCCTGAACTATTCTGCTAGAATCATTTAAAGCCATGCTGTTACACTACATTCACCAAGCCAGCCATCTGCATTGGTTGTGTTACTCTTAGCCCCGTCAGCAACCTGGGCCTGCATCACCAGCATGATTTGGTAGCTACCAATACCAATACCCTGACCCATGATTTCATGTGCTTGAAAACAAAGATCTCAACCAACACAGCAGCTTCACTCATGAGCACAATTAGTATACCTTGACCTGTATATAGAGTACCCAAGCCAATTCACAGATTTGGTTTGGAGACACATTGACATGAGAGTACCAGAATAATCCTGTTTAGTGATAGCCACAATGTTTGGATTTTTATTTTTGCTTTTCAAATGCATTGCCTAATCTTTATCCTGGTGAGGCCAAGGCTGGGGGATGGGGTGTTGGCCATATTCACCAGGTTTTTGTGTTTGTAGGAAAATCACACAAACTTGGTATAGCTTATCATGCATCAATTTTGCATAATGTCTAAAATAAATATCCCAGGTCATCTAAGGTCAGGTCACCAGGTCAAGTAGCTTTAGGTACTTTAAAAATATTTGTGATCCTGTCATTCATACAGCTTATCACCTTAGAAGTTTGAAACTTGATGATTGATATATTGCATGATGGTATCAGTAGGTACCTACTAAAAATATCAATATGTGTATCTCAGATTTCCAAATCTGTGACCTGTGCCAGGTCAGAGTTGTGACCTCACTGACATCAGGCAATGGGTGTAAAAGCACAAATCACAAATGCCTCCTTAATTGAAGAAACACATCAAGATATTGTCAGAAATGTGACAACTCTACCCTCATGCAATGTACAGGTAACAGGATGCAGCTGATGGCCAGCAGTCACTGTAAAAGGTCATGTTGGGTCATAGAAGGTCACCAACAGTTTTTCAAGAAAAAACTTTTGGTTGAGACATGGTAGAGCAAAGCATCTGAGAGGTGTTGAGATCAAGAGTACAAATTGATTGATATAACCATGACCTTTTTGGTCAAGTCCTGGCCTTGACCTTAGGTCAACTTTTCAAATGGGCTTTTCGGTCAAATTATAGTTAATTCGACGTGGCTGGACGAGGGGAGCACGATGGAAGTAAGACCAATATCGTAAAGTGATTGGTGCCGAAGTTATTTCGGAAAACTGTATGGTAAAAACCGTCTATTTTAGCGTCTTTAGTACTTAGTGGGCCAAACCGTTGACTTGAGATCAAATTGGGGACATGTCAGCGAGAGAGCTTTAACAGAGCCATTGAATGCACGTTTCCGCGATGTTGTAGCTCTTTTGGTTCAGAAGTTATGCGCGGCCTTGTGAAGCATTGTCAAAATCGGGAAAATATTACGGAAAAATTGCCCCTATTACCTTTAGAGACTTCGCTGTTCAACTGAGCGTAAAATGACATCATACCTCTGAAATAACTGATAGGAACGCTGCTCATTGCGTTTTGCGTCTTTCTAGCTTTCTGAGGTTGTGAGGTAATTGGTGTGACCCTTCCCCTCCCCCTTACCCACACACAAATGGCCGGAAGTTGGCTGAGGCTTGCTCGAAACCGCACCTAGGCGCGGGTAAATGGGCCTTTTTCCGTTCAAAATTTTATAACGATACCAGTGTAAAAATGACTATAAAAATGACTACTATTCTGCCTGCATTCACACCTCTTTCAGTGCCAGAGGCGTATCATTTTTTGGAGACTCGGTCACCCTGGGCCAGAGTAAAATTGTACAGGCTCGGTCTACTGGTCCATCCTCTGTTACCGATAAACGAGGAGCTTATGATGGAGGTTAATATGTTACTTCATATGTTAGAGAAAATGATGCAACCAGTGCACAGTCTTGCCGAATACCAGATTAGCGCGAATTTAATCAAAAACCCGACTTTCGATAAACTGTTATTTATACCTATCAATGGGTAGGAAATTGTCCGAAGTTATCGGATAGAACCTTATTTTTAAGCCACTTTATCATTTGAGGACTTATATCCCTGCCGAAAGTAGACCCACGCTCCGGTTCCTGAAATCGGGCTATGGTACTGAGAAATATGTCCAGTTTTCAATGTAAATTTTACGGAAGCTTCGAGAAGATATATGAGAAAATAGCATATCACCGGATAGCACAATTCATGATGAAGCTGTTTCTGCTATCATGGTAGCTTTTCAATGAATGGTTTCTGAGTTTAATGAGTTAGAACAGGAGCCCTGCATGTGTATCGTTCTCACAATAGTATTTCATAAAGAAGTTGGAAAATGTCAAAATGGATAAAAATGGATATGACGAATAGGGCATGGCTGAACTCTACGCACATTTCTGAACATAAGCGAGCAAGTTTCAGCTGCCACTTTTTGCCTATTTGCCGTCAATTCAGCTTTGAACATGTCTAGTCGGCCGCCCGGCGTGACCTGACCAAGGTGGGGGGCGGCGCGGCCGAACAGGCTCCAGCCTAATAAACTATCTCAAGCACACGGAATCGTGATTTCATGCACTCCTTGCAAGGTTCGATGCTTCACTTTTGCATTATTGGCCTTACGTGACGTCATTTATGACGTCACTAGGATAATAAGAGTTTTTCGTCAATAACTCCTGATCAAATTGAGCTAGCGAGTCGGGAAAGCCACCAATGGACTCAGGAAGACCTGCCGAATCGAATGATATGCAACATGACCTCCTTCGACCAACTTCGTGATCTGGGGGGCTCTAACTTGACCTTGACCCGAGGTCAACACCTTAAGTTGACTTCAGCCGAACAAAAAGTATACCATTCGACGCACCTGAGCGAGGCGAACACGATGATGCCAAAATTGCGGACTCTGCGGCATTTTTTCGCGAAGTTATTAATAAAAAACGAATCCGTGCCTTGGGCCACTTGACCTGAACTCAGAGGTCACAGGTTAACCTGAGACCTTAAAATCGGATACCAGTTGCTGCGTCTCGTAACGGCACACACGCTCGTTTTTTCCGCGAGGCTCTAGCTTCATCAAGGGCCAAACAGCGACGGGGGTCGTACCCCCCCCCCTTCGGCCGGCGAAGGGGGGGTATTTTGAAAACCAATAGGTCCGGTGAGGGGTAAACGTCAGTTTTGGAACCAGAGAACCATTTTCAGTGGATCCGAGCGGCGCTGGGATTAAATTCGCGCTAAACTGGTCTTCGGCCACACTGTGCAGTGGCAACAACACTGAGGCCATTTATGCAACAATTGTTATATAAGCGGCTGCCTTGCGGACCGCCGCGCACCTGTTTAGAATAGAAGATTTACCCAGCTCCTGGTTTATTATGTAACCGTTTGCAGAGAATGGACACTCTTCATGACTACCGACCGGTCGGAGAATGCCGCCTCGAGTGTCGTCCTGAGCCATAGCGGCCTGCATGAGGTCTCTGGGTCCGCAAAGGACGTCTGTGTCAGTGTCTGTGGTTACGCGCCGATCCTCCCGTGAATGGCTCTGGAGTCGGAACAACGTGTGATGAAAACAAATGCCCAGCTTAGTCTGAACAGTTTGTTTTAGTTATGTGATGCAATGTTACGTGAGTTCGTGCACCTTGCGATCCGACTGACGCTGTTCCAAGTAGCTCTCGATCACGAATGCCGTTGCGGCTGTTCTGTTACGGAGGAAGACATTGAGTCAGTAGCGATACACATTGCAATAGGCGATGTCATATTATATTTGAAGTGTTCAGCAAGCTTACGGAGGATTCTATTGTGCGTCTTCTAATTGATTTGATGCCCTTGTTTTCCCGTTTTATGTCGCACCTTTTGGCTTTTGCAATAAGAAAAGTTGCTACTTAATATCGCTCAGCCCCCCCCTCCCCCCCAATGAAATGGCTTAAATTTGATGTCCATCGTTGATCCATATCGTCCAACATTGTGTTGGGGCCAAGAACCTAAGTCACCAAATCAGAATTAAGCGCCTTGCAAAATGTCATGCTGGTCACGAGAAGCTCTACTCTCAATAGCATTCCCATCCTGATTCTTTCGAGAACTCTGACTCGGATGAGCTAACCATCTCTGAGTAGCAATTAGCAGCCGTTTCTCGAAGCAGACCGTTCCACTCCTCCCTGCGGTCATTGGGTGTTGCAGGGGGCCGCCTCCCTCCCTCCCATCCCTCCCGGTAATACAATCGGCCCCTGCGGCCGTGCGGCGGATCCTGCGGTCATGGTTCCGCTGAGCTGTGGGCAGCGCCGTCCTCCGAACGGCCGGTGTCGGCTGGCCCAGCGTTGCATCATGCTGTCCTGTGCCGCCGCCGCCGAGGGGGGTGGTTTATTTTGACGAGCCGCCCCTGGGTCTGCCACCCTGATCCCAGACTCAACGGACGGTCAGAACGATAACAGAGAGAGTAGAGTGCTCATTCAATAGTATTTGAATGGAGAGGCTAGTTTTCTGTCTTTATTTTGGCCAAGTTAGGTTTTCATTTTTTCAGACTATTGTTGTCATGCGTTAGTCGCTGAGCGCTGAATAGTGAAGTGAGCACTTGCGGTGACGTGCTAAGAGTGCCTCCCCTACCTACGTGCCTGTACCAACGTTAGGGATGGCACCAGAATCTTAAACCTTCTTTTTGTAAAGCCTTTGACATTGGTTGTTTATGTGTTTGTTTGTCAAACTGTAGGGACAGAGAGGTTTTGTCAGGGCCGTGCCGGTTAGTGCCGCGTCGTCCGTCGCGGCTCGTAGCTTAGATAGAAATCAAACGACGCGTCTTGCCTAGATAAAGCGACAGAGACTGAGGACATCGCGACGTGCATACGCTCCCGACTTCGACAAACATCGTAAATATCGATGAACCTGTTTGTGTATGTGTTTGTACTTTGCAAGCAATGTCTTCGGGGCTCACGTAAACCTTAGTGACAACGGTTACCCGTCCGCTGCCTTCTCAGTTGCTCGTTCGTAAATAACTTCTGGTTTTTGTTTCAAAGCAACGCTGGCTCTCGAGCTGCTGGTAGACAGTGAGTGCATCAACCCTCGGCCGGTTGGGCTGCACAGTAGGGGTGTCTCGGGTGGCTCGGCGGGTGAATTGATTTATGGTTAGCCGACCTCGCTGCTCCGTTCTCATGCAGATGTAGAAGGCTCCTCGTGACCGACCATGTCTCCATGGAGCTGGTGGTCGGCGGTAGTGACTGCTCTGGGAGCTCTGGCACATGGCGATAGCATTTTTTTTTTTTTTTTTTACTGCAGAATGGATCGTAAGGTGTTAAATTTGTCCCAAAGTGGGAGTTCGGATGGTGATTGTTCGGCAAGGGATGTTGTATAGGTGGTGTAGGCTCTCTGGTCAAGTGTAAAAATATTTGAACATCAGTTGTTACATAATATTTTCAAACGTGCATACGGCTTGTGTTGTGACTTGTTAGTTACGTATACGACGAATGTATGGGTTGATAACTGGCTGTCATATTGATCGGACTCACGGCTATGCTTATTGTTAGCACTTGATCGACCGTAATGGAGGTGACATATGCATCGCTATATACACCTCCTATATATATGTATTATTGCAGTGAGATCTGCTGCCGTAATTTCTCGTCCCATCCTGGCACCATTCCTCGCCTGCAGGGACCATGGGTCCGTTCTGACACCGCCCCCATCTCGTCGGAGATATCGAGAGCCAGAATTGGCCTCTATCCAGGGCCCCAGACGACGGGCGGCGAGCCAGACTGCCGACGCACCTGACGCAGCATCGGCGCGTGCTGGTGACGTCACGTCACGTGATCATCCCGTGGGCGGAGCTAGAGCTGGCGGGCATTGTCAGGGTCATGAGTCCGAGGTCATTCGGTACAGTTTGTTAGCGATTTAACACGAGACAAGCCATGCGCTCAACAACGGGGTCGCGTTTCACCACAGTGTTTTTGCTTTTTCTTATATCGGCTTACGACGTTGTTGACAAATGCCCTGTCGTTTTGTTTATCTATTGACAATAAATCACATGAACCTTAAAAGCCTCAATAAGCGTCACGTGTCTCTTCAGATTTCCAATCTGATTCAGCAATTGGCTTTCACCTTGGCGTGTGTAACCGTTGGGCAGAGAATGAAGACTGGAGATGCGTGCTTGCTGTTGACTTTTCAGGTCGGGCGCATCCATACTCAAATAGGCTAGAGGCCAACAATGTGTGTCTTCGGTCTGTCGGTCTGTTGAACTTCTGTCTGTCTGTTTATTGGCTGTGCGTAGACATGTATGTGCTCCTGTCTCCTTACCCTCCCCCAGACGCGGTATTGTGCAGTTCGTGACCTCCCCCCGCCCACAGACCTGGTGATCGCTCAGGGGGGCCGTCTGAGCGTGATCAGTCTCTGCTCGTCCCGGGAGCTGCGACTGGACACCTCCGACATCAGCGATGTCTCGGCCATGACGTACGACTCCGCCACGGGTCGGCTGTTGCTCAGTGGTGACGGCTCCGACGGCTCGCACCGTCTCTGGACGCTACAGATGTCCGACGGCGCCCGCGCCCGGCCCGTCAACTTTGCCGGTGAGCGGTGGAGCGCGTCTCGGTCCTCGAATGAATCTGTTCTTATCTGTTTTTAAATTGGGGTTTATGGATGTGTCGATCACGAAGCTGTTTCATGTTTGTGATTTACATCCATATATCCCGCTGATTTTTTTTTTCGCTGCATGCAAACTTTACATCATCAGCATATAAAACATGTAATCGAAAGACGCTGCTACCGCATTGACCATTCTCTTCTCAGATGCCGCTCTAAAGTAACATGTCGTATATCAATCTTGTGGCGAGACCTGTGCTCCAGTCATCCTCTCGACACCCTATGGTTACAAAGTTACCCTGCTTTTGACGCTCTTCTAATACTCAGCAGTCAGCAAGCAGACTTCTGACCGACTCTCCCGTCCCCGCCAGGCGCGCCGCCTGGCCGTCTCGAGGGTATGGTGGTCTCCGCCGACCACTCAGCCGTCTACGCCGCCGACGCCACCAACGGCACCATCGTGCACGTGCCGCTGGAGCACGTGCTGCGCCGCACGGCAGCCGCGTCGGTGCTGCACCTCCTGCCCGACGATCGGCCGCGCGGGCTGGCCGTCGACGAGACCCACGGGTAGGTGTTTGGTCACTTCTAAGGGCTCCGGGGATCCCAAGTCTGCTTACGTTCGTGTTTTATGTCAATGATATTTATGTGGTAAACAGCCGACTATGGGTGCCCAATAGTTGCGTGGATGCTTCAACCGGCGACTTTGGGTGGGTTTCCGGGCTGGGCCTGTCGATTGGTGGGAGCAAGATATTCAGTCTGTCTCTGGTAGCTTTAGCATTCATCACGAAATGCGACCATCGGTTCCACTAATTCGTTAATTATTATTCTGGAATGCCATTGGCGACTGTCGTGTAGTTATTAGGGTCGAGTGTCGTTCACACCCCGTCGTCCTCATTAGTGACGACAATGTAACCGGTTTTTGATAAAACTCGTCGGTTCCGTTGCTCGCCCACAGTTTGTATTTCGACACCTTTGCCAAGGCGCGACTCCGCCTCAAAACCACTCCAAACACCTGTCTGGTTATTTGCTCACGACCACTTAGCTGTTGACGCTCGTGCGATACCGTTCCCTGCGCACCTCCGACCGGCTTGGGCTGTGTGTTCCGCCCCGGCCGGTGGTTGCGCGTGGCTGACGCAATGGTCGCTGTGCGTTCACTTGGGCTCGTCTGGCTGACTGGGGAGTCGTGTTTGTGGGCCGGGTCAAGAGCACGGCGGCTCTGAGGCAACGGACGCCGCTACGAGCGATGATCGATAAGCTAGAGATGGAACCTGCGGCGGCTTGGGGGCGGAAGATGGAAAGCCGCTCAGAGGTGAACTGTTTGGTTGATGTGGTGCTCGCGGCTGTTTTTGTTATTGTTTGTAAAAACTTCATTTTCGGTCACCGGTACAACCTGTTTTCAATTAGATGAACGTTATTCTCTATCACTGAAGTGAATCTTTTATCGATGAGAGAATAATTCATCTTCTTATTAGGTATGAATATAAATTAGGAAAATATGGACTACTACTGCTTCGTTACACACATGTCTACATCTTGATTCTTGATGTATCTGAGTCACGTTTAAAAATTAGCATGCCATTACGAAAACATGTTTCTATTTTTAGTTCCATGTTCCATTATTCAGCAGCGTCCCTGGCTGGCCTTTTTTCTCCGCGCGCCCCGGCTGGCCGCGCTAATGGAGCGTTATCAGACGGTGCCGCTGGCAGTGAGTGCCGGGCTCACGTGACGGCCGGTGTGAGAGCGGTGTGCGGACCGGACCGGACCCCGCCGGCGGCGGTGGGTGGTCCCGGCGGCGAGCTCACGGCCGGCGACACGCCAGCCGGTGCTACCGTCAGCGGTGGCAGGAGGAATGGGTCAGTCAACGGCCGGGCTGACCCGACCTGCCGCTGTAACAGCGTGGAACTGCGGGCACGTGGATCAGACGCTCTCGAAACGATAAGCAGTCTGGCAAAGGATAAACTTACGCAATCTGCCGAATGGATTTGTCTAGAGCGATAGTTTGAGAATTGAACTACCTTTGTCAACGTTAGGTACATTGCTATTGAGTTTGTAATGTGACGATTATTTCATAAATATGCAAGATATTACAACAAAAATTACCCGACGTTTCGTTTATTATAACTTTTTCAAGGGTAATGAAAAGACACACATTTATCTACGAGAACTTGGGATGTGTAACAGCGCGGGCAATTCTTCGTAGTAACACTTCCTGTCTGCAAACAGGTCACAAAGAAACAATTCACAAATCATAATCTCTCCTGACTAAAGATGCGGCCACAGAAGCAAGCCTAAAAAATCCATTTGAAATATTCAAAGTTTGACCAGTAGCGATAAATGCCGCCTCTACAACTTTTCGCTGAACTTTGGAAAAATTCCTGTCGACACTTGTAGCCCCTGTCCAGTTAGGCAGATGCCCTTCTTCCTCTGCGTGAACAACAAAGGCGTTCGAAACTCTATGATTGCGCATGTCTCCCTTGTGCTCGCGAACCCTCGTTTTTAGACCCCTTCCCGTTTCCCCGTAGTACTGCCCGCGCTGTTACACATCCCATGTTCTCGTAGATAAATGTGTGTCTTTTCATTACCCTTGAAAAAGTTATAATAAACGAAACGTCGGGTAATTTTTGTTGTAATATCTTGCATATTTATGAAATACATTGCTATTATTACGTCAGTGTTGACGGAATGATAAACCCCTCCGTCGTCTTGGCTGCCTAGTTGCTTTATAAATTCCCTGGCATTTGTTATTGAGCATGTGAGCTGATTCTGTGCAGGACACTAAAGAGTCCCATTATGTATTTTAGCCACTCTAGTGAAAGCATACGATAACTCCAACCGGATGGAGATGCAAACTTAGTTTTGAAAACTTTTTGCAACAGTTTTCGTGCTCGTGAAACATTCACTCATCACAAACGTCTGTATTTGTCCCGTACCGTCAATTCCTTTTATCATTTTATCCTTTCCTTTCCCCCAATATGTGTGCACCAACGCTTCAAGCTTGTCAATCGGCTTAGATTCGACTACCACAGCGTATCAGGCATCACATCTGCACTTGTGCGCAAGCAGCGGGTGGGTGGATGCGATTCGGCTGGCCAATTTCTGCCACCGTTCCCAGCTGTCGCTGACACGTGTGCTGTATGATGAAAGGGCTGTCAGAGTCACTCGCCTCTCAGGTGGAGACCTCGGTGGCCGGTGCCATGTGGCAAATTCATCCATGAAGGTCACATGTGTTAGTGCATACGCCATAAGTCATGTGGAGGTCAATAATATTTGTACGCAGTAATCCTGTTTCCCAGCGTTGTTTGTGATGCAATGGCAATGGCCGAGCATTATTACCGCTAAAACTTATGGATTATCCGGCCAAAACCTTGCGTTGCCAAAATAGACTCCGGTTTGTCCCAGGTTTACAAAATATATCCAACTTTGTTCTAGGATCTAGGTGCTTTTCTGTCGTATTTTGTTGTTTTCCAACCGCCTTCGTTCTTCATCCGCATGGAATCGAAGCTGGCGCCAGACCGCAGTTACAGAACTGGCGCCGACCGCTGGCAGATGTCCGCTGAAATTTTGTCGTTTCGGCAGCTGATTCGACGTCCACGAAAGCGTAATGCCGCCTACAGAAGTTCGCTTTTGCGGAATGCCGCCCGCCGAATGGCCTAGTGTGCGGCCGCCTTTAGGGTATTAACCATATCCGGACGTGGAAGGCGTCTGCGGTTTGCGGGCCGGCAGCGATAGGCAGCAGAACGGCTGTGGATTTGTGTGCTGTGTTTTCCGTGCCGTCTTTGGAGACCGAGTCTTCCGTGTGGTTCATGTGGTTAAGAGTACACGGCGTTATCAGTTGTGGTGCATGTATTTCTCCCGCGAGGCGTTTCAATGTTTGACATTCAAACTTTGAACTGAATGCGATGTTTAGTTGTAAGACTCCCGCTCGACTGGCATCCCGTTTACCCTGCATTTTGCTCCGCTTCGTGCGAGGCATCTCTTCTTCTGCATTCTGACAACATTCTTGGTCATTTTCCGTTCCTCATTATTTCGACGTTGTCGCCCAGCTCATTGGCCTACCCTTGAAAACCCGCTGATGGATGATGTAATTATTTTCATTTCACCTGTCGTCTTGATTGGTCTCACCGTCTATTCTGGGCGCTGATGACCACTGTAGTCCGGTCGCTCAAAAACCCCAATTCATCATCATCACCGTCTATTTAGCCCACAGTTATAACTGCTCGTCTCCTTGTCTGTTCAGTCACAGTTCAAATAGCTCATCTCTCGTCTGTTCAGCCCACAGTTCTAACGCGCTCCCCATCTCCTGCAGGCTGCTGTTCTGGACCAACTGGAGGTTCGGCCGCCAGTCGGTGGAGCGCTCCGGACTGGACGGCTCCCAACGATCGCGCGTGGTCGACTCGGACCTCTACCTGCCCGGCGGCGTGGCTGCCGACCCCTCCTCCACCTCCGTCTACTTCAGCGACTCGGGAGCCGACGGCCGCCTGCACGTGGAGCGTGTCTCGGAGGACGGCTCGGCTCGACACGCGCTGTACCGCGGCCGCCACCCCCAGGCGAGCGGTCTGCAGCTGGCGGCCGGCAGTCTCTACTGGTCTGACACGGCCGGCGTGTGGCGCCTGCCTCTGACCACCGACGGAGCGGGCGTTGCCGGGTCGGCCGAGCTGGTGGCCCCCCTCCCCGGCCGGCCCAGTGCTGTACTCGTTCTGCGCGAGGACGAACAGTGCGCCAGCTATACCTCCATCGTGCCGACGGCGGTGCCGGCCACGGCTGTGTCTGGCGCGCCGGCTGACTCCTGTGAGGATTACTGCGTGGTGGGACGGTGTCGATGGGACGAGCTGCGCGGCCGATCATGCCGCTGCCCGCCCGGGTTTGCTGGGGATCGTTGTGAGCAGGACCAATGCCACAACTACTGCCTGGGTGGTGGGACGTGTCATCGGGATGTTGGAGGAAGAGTGCTCTGCTCCTGCCCGCCCGGCGCCAGCGGGGACCGGTGTCAGCATCAGGCCAGGTGAGTGCTGAGGCAGCGCCGCGCCGGGACGTGGGGTGTGGGGAGAGGAGGGGCGTGACTGAGTGGAGGCCGGCGCAGCGCATGCTTATCATAACCCGCGCCCAGCTGGGGGTCCTGGATTTCCACGCCCTGCTGGGGGGGGGGGGGGGTTTGAACACCCCCCCTTGTAACTCGGCTCCTGGGCCACGTAGCGATACGCGGAAGGCGGCGTTCGAAAGAGCGTAAAAAATAATGACGAAATCACTTCGGTCAATTTTTTGCTCAGGTCAAAGGTCAGGTCACCAGAGGTCATTGAAGGCAAAATTTCGCCGATTTCCAGGTCGAATGTCGAAAATTTCCAAGAAGCCAACGCATAACTCGGGAACCAATAGAGCTACAGCGCCGCGGAAAAGCGCATTCGATAGCCCTATTAACGCCCTTTCTGAGTAATTCTCTCAGATTTGAACTACCGTCAACGGTTTTGCCTGCAGGGGGCAAAAACTGCAAAAATAGCCGATTTTTTCGCAAACAGTTTTTTCTGCAATAACTTTTGACCCAAGCCTTGTACGAGCTTACTTTTACCAGCATCGTGTTCCTCTCGTCAAGACGCATCGAATGAACTATAACTTGACCTTGAAAGGTCAACTTGAAAATTTGACCTCAGGTCAAGGTCATGACCTGACCGGAAAGGGTTATGTTGCACATCAGTCGATCCGTATCGTCTAGCTGAACACATCTAAGGCGTTTTCATCGCTTTAGCATGCCTCTATCAAAAGTTATTTGCGAAAAACTGTTAGATACCATTCGTGACCTAAGATGACCCCAGGGCATAAACAAGGGTCACGGACACTATTTTCATGTTCAGTGTGTCTAAACCACTTGTAATTCGGTGTTTGGGAGTGTTTATAATGTCTTTCGTCCAAAAGAGGCGCATTTCAATTTTCTCCCATTGACTTATAATGGGGAGGTCGCAAAATTGACCTGACCTTAGGTCATCGATATCAAAATTCTGAGATATACATTTTGTACATGCTATTGCTCTTAGCAATCGCTGAAAGTTTCAAAGCGATCGGTCACTCGGTGTAGCTATGACAGACATTGAAACTTTTTATGAGGTGAGGTCACTTCAAGTGACCTGGTGACCTGACCTTGAATGACCTTGGTCTGAAATTTTCACAACATGTGTAGAATTGATGTATGATAAGGTGTACCAAAAACGGCGGCGCTCCGCGCCGCCGTTTTTGAGATATTCGCGAAAAACCACAAGGGGGGGGGGTGTTCAAACACCCCCCCCCCCAGCAGGGCGCGGGATAATGAGGGGATGGAGATTTGAGAGGAGGGGACTGCGAAAAACATGTTCTAGCTTCCTGTACTGCTTCAGGACACCAGTCTTCACATTATTATTATCGATTTTCTCGTACCGTACAAACACAGCTCCCAATGTAAATATCGCATTTAGCAACTTTGCGCAGTCAAAGTTTTGCCCCGGTGTCTCCTTCACAATGAAATCCTGTACGCCCATTGTCATCCTTCCGTAACACGACCCCAAAACCGGTCGCCCTAAGTGTCCGTTTGATCCGGCAACCCGTTCCCGGTTTCTGATGCAACAGTCGGGCCGGTTATTTCCACTCGGGGCGGTCGATGGCCCGCCGGACCCGCCCCAAATCACCTGGCAAGAGCGGGCGAGGGTGGCTCATTCACACATCGCTGTGTGGGTTCTGTAGTATTCTGTCTGCAACTTCGGCCGTGGTGGTGAACTGCTGTGTGGGAAGGCGTTTCGTCTCACCACGACAGATGTTGGACATTCCATGGAGACCGTGAATGCAGTCAGCTGAGAAATAACGCACGTGACTGGTGGACCCCGTCACCTCTCGCCCTATCCGCCCTCGGCGCTGTCACCGGTCTGACACTGTTGGCGGCCGGCCAGCCGCGAAGGCCGCAGACTTCAGAGGTGGCTCGGTGTGCTGGGTCAGATGGGGCTGCGCGGACAGTCGACCCCTGATGTCTGTCCTGGGTCGGGTCACCGATGGTGGGCGACTTATCAGACGGCTCATCGCATGCCGGATAAGATGTCTCGTAACTCTGATGTTCCTTCATGGATAATCGGAATATGGTATGCGGAAGCCAGTGTAGCAATCCTTGTATCCAGGGTAGCAGACTGCGGAATTGTCCTTGGTAGAAATAATTACCAACGGTGGTTGTCACTGGTTAGTTTCATAATCAGCTTTGGCTGAACTGGGCTGGGCCCTGTGTTTCGTGGCATTGTTTGTCGTGCTCGAAACAAGCTGCAGTCGCCACTCGCCAGCCTGTCGATTAAGCACATTCCTAATTTATATTCCACCCGCGGTATGGCATGCGGCCATGTCATGCAAAGTGATTACAGTCCGAGCTGATTGTTTGTCTTTGTCATGTCACATTTCATGACTTGTCTGATCTGGCTTTCCATTATCTCTGCCGTTATGCAACTTGGGTTGTCGTCCGTGCATGTTGATGCGCCCAGCAGACAGCCGCAGGCAACGGTATTCGATTACCCATCGCGTTTCTTCGGCCATTGCATAAGCCCTCAAAACTTGCTAGTTGCAATGTGCAGGCAACGGTCACGCCTTTTGAAGGCAGTGCCAATCAATGTCAACGAATAACGATACGTCTAGATAGGCATAGCTCTGTGTTGACTAGAATACGTTATTTGTTCGTTTTGTGTACTCTGCAATGAGACCCTTGTCATAGCGTTGTTTACAAAATGCTATCTTATCTTCACCACCCACCCCTACGTCTTGTCTGTCTATAGTCATTGCCTTGCCTGTCTGATCGGGCATTGAGGTAGCCGGGCACTGTGTTCAATGCACGCTATACTACGCCAGTCACGACATTAGCATATGTCGCCTCCAAAATGGCACGTACTTAAATGCGCTGTTTCTGTGGTTGACACGGTGTCGATTCGATGGTTATTGGTTAAGCTTATATGGACGCGTGTGCTGCCGTGCGTCGTAGCATATTGACGCTATAATAGAACATCGCACAGGGGCTTTGGTTTGGATGCAACGACTACTGGTAGTTCCACAATCACACTTATGTGTCCCACAGTTGGTTGGGGTGACCGCCTCACTCCCTCCGGCTCCTGATGTCAGTTCTGTATTTGACGTTCAGTTTGCGCCAACTCGTGCTGTCGTTCCTGCTGCCCTCTGACGTCCGGCTCTCTCCCCAGCGCCGCCGCCGCCGCCGCCGCCGCCGGCTGTGACCCAGCGCTGGGCATGTCCTCCACGGCGCTACGTCTGCTGGTGTGCGGCCTGCTGGTCCTGCTCGCCCTGCAGGCGGCACTGCTGGCCGTGCTGGGAATCAGGCTGCGCCGCGCCGCGCGCGCTGCTGCCCGCTCCGCCGCCTGTCCGCCGCCCCAGTCGCAGCCCAAGAAGCGGTTCGTGGCCGTGGGACGTCAGCTGCGCCCGCGCCCGTCCCCGCCCCGCAGGGATATCGAAGACTGCTGTCAGATGACGCTATGTGAAACGGTAAGGAGGATACCCGCCAAGGAGGGGTAAGGGTTCTTTCACGGAAGGCTTTATCAAATTATCGCGTATGCACTCGGCAGGATAGGCGAGCTCAAGCTTGCTCTGAAGCGCAGTTTATGTTGCGCGACGCCCTGATGTAATATGTTTTCTCTAGTTAGCAGATCTTGGCGATGCATTTAATTCTCACTCTGCCGTTTGTTCCTCCACAGCCCTGCGTCGTATCAACGGCGGCCTGCGAGCGCCAGGGTCTCGTGGACCAGAAGAGCTCCGGATGCGACAACTCACAGGCGCTGGCCGACCTCTTTTAGGGCTCGCCACACTCCGTCCGACCAGGCATCGCTCCAAAACATCATTGGTCGGGCGAAGAAGACCCGCTGAGGAAATCTCGGGATGTCGGGAGGAATTATCGGTGTGATTGTGTTACCCTTGTGTTCAACGCTCCACGCAGCTTTCAACAGAACAAATGTCAAAACGTGTGCGTGGGGTGGAAGTTGCTGCCTCTCGACAAAAAGGCGCGATTTTCCGCGCAAGATTCGGTTGTATTTAGGGGCTGGCTTGGTCTGGTTTGCTCTTCGTTTGGAGGGAGGGGGTGTATGTGTGAGGCTAAACCCGAGATCATCTCCACTTGAAGGGGATACTACGGGGTGTGAGGCGTTGGAGGGGGCTGCTCTAGTGGCAACAGTGTGCCATGTCTTTTGATGGTTCGCTCACGCGTGTTTGTGAGGTGTGTATGGTTTCCACCCATGGTGCTAGTCCTAAGCTGGGACAGTGCCCGTACAAAGCCGGGTGGCTCCTGCTTTCTCTCTTCTCTTCCCCGCCCGCCGGCGCTAGTCCTCAGATGGGACAGTGCCCGTACAAATATCGGGTGGCTTCAAGATTAAACCTCGTGGAGTAGGCTGTTGCCTCGCGGTACTTCGCGCCTTTGAGCGATGCCAATGAGCTGTGTAGCGGTGCTAGTCCTCAGATGGGACAGTGCCGTCTCCCGGGGCTCGCGCGGGTCTCGGTGTTCCTGCCCGAGACGCTCGTCCCCAGATGGGACAGTGTCCGTACAAAGTCCGGGCGTCGCGCTCCCCCAACACTGCCGGTCGGTGCTAGTCCTCAGATGGGACAGCTCCGGCGCATGGTGCGTCGCCGTTGTCTGCAGCGCTCACTCAGTGGGCGCGGTGTAGTGTGTGCTAGCCTTTAGATGAGGCAGTGCGCAGTGATATGAAGAATACCTATTGCGCGTAACTCGCGTGAGAGACTAGCCTTCCGAAAGGCAGTCTCGAAGGTGTGATAGAGGATTTTACACGTGTTTGTTTGGCACAGGAAAAGGAATGAAGCAGATGTTTCTATTGGCGTGCGGTTTTTACAGGCACTCGCCTTGTGATGGGGCAGTGCAGTGCTGTGAAGAGGTCTTGCCGGTAGCTGAGCGAATCCGACCCTCGTGGCGATCGCGGTTAAACTGGGATATTTTCTGTGCAATCGGAGGGCTTTACGCTCACTCAAAGTGGGTAGTGTGGAGCTCCGACTGCTCGCTCGCTCGTTCTCAGGTGGAACAGTGGGCGATTGGCGCGTATTTAGGAGGGCGCCGTCCGTTCGCGCGATGTTGTGCTCGCTCAGGTGACCCGCTCGTTCTCAGTTGGGACAGTGGGCCGGCGCTCGCACCGGAGGTAGCCATTGCGGGCTTCCAAAGGACCAGATCACGTCTGTTGCCGAATTGGCGGCCCAAACGGTCGTCTTGCCTCAGTTGTCTGCGTTTCTGGACGTCATTATAGAGTTTTCTTGTCCGCGATAGCCACCATCCCCTTCTTTGGTATTAGTTGCTCCCATGTCATCATTTCACCCTACCCTCTGTTTTTCGTGTCTTTGTGTATGTCTTTCAATGAGCACTTTTTCATCCTCCCTTTTGTGGCATTGTGTATATCGATGGTTTCTGATTTGTCTATTGCTCGCAGTATGGCCATTTTCATTCTCTTCTTGTGATGTTACGGATTTCTTTGGACATCCACCCACAGTATTGGCTGAGCTCATTGCTGCTTCTGTGAATCCTGCTGTCACTTTGATACCCAAACACCGCAGTCTCTCGTTCAACTGTGGTGTTTCCTTTCCCGTTGTTACTGATAGTAGCGGCAGTACGGTCCTCTACCCAAACGACCGGTGAAGACTCCATTTTTGGCAGCGGCGGTAGCAAACGGGAAACAAAACAACAGTGATCATTGGCTATTATATGAAGCGCTATTACTTTCAAAATCTTGTTGTCAACGCCACGACACTTTGGCGTAATGATTTACAATATTCGTTTTAAAGACCCGGCTCATTGTAAAGAAAAATATAGTTATTCAGACCTTCATATTTTGGTGGCGGCCCTTGGAATGTTTATTTTGGGACGCGCTTGCGGTTCCTCTGCACTATTTAGAAGGTGGCGTGGCGTTTCAAAATAGCCTTGATGGTTTTTCGATATTGTGTTGTGTATGTTGAAAGCTTATTCTGTGTAGCGATCACCATTGTTTGCGTTTGCATTCGCTCAGTACATTGTGATAGAAGTGGTCAAATGTCGGAAACCGGCACTCGAGGAAGTGGAAAACGGAGCGCCTGTGCTCCTGTGTTTTGATGAAACGCATGACGCGCAGTTTGCAGATGTTATCTTTCGGCATAGATATTCAGCGCCTTTAAAAGCGAACCTTTATGTTGCGTACCTATTTTCGTAAATGTGAACAAACAAGGCTGTTTGCTGGTTAGACGGGTAGGGTTAGTGTGAGATGTAGTGACGCGCTTGGTCTAGTCTTCCTGTAGTCGCCGTTCAGCTATCGCTCTCGGCATGCCGTTCGATTTTCAGTATCTGTAGTCGCTTGCTAATTCTCCATTCGTTTGCCCAGAACCGGTGTTCCGTCTCCGGTATCGTTGCGTGCCGCGGTGTTGACCATCCTTCGGTTCAGGTTCCGTAGGGACGGGCCACGCTCTGAGCCTCTTGGGTCCTCTGAGCGCCCGCTGGTCCCGTACTCTCCCAGCCGCTCTGGTGTTTGGAGGCGTGCGAGCCACCAATGTAACACCAGGGACGGCCGCCCGGCACCTGGTACAGGCAAACGCGCGCTTGCTCTCACCGATACCTTGACTGCTCTCTGCGCTTGTCATTATTTTCAAATACACGTTCTGTTAGCACGAAGCGCTTTATGGGTACGAATGAGGTGTTGGAATAAGGCGAAGTAGCGCTCGTTGGTGCTGAGCCAGTTAGTAGTTACCTATTACCTAACCGTTCTGAAAGGAAAGGTGTCGTGGTCATGCGCTTTCGGAAAGTGATGGGTTCGAATCCGACGATTGCCTTTGACGTTTTCGATGTTATCGGGCTTTCGGGATGAATGCGATGGTTGTTGAGGAAGGCGCGACCATGCAGTACAAACTGTAGTAATGGCTGATTACATAGACCAAAGTAGAAAAGACAGCATGGAAACACCGCTATATGGCGCTGGAAGTCTATTGTCCATATGAGGCACTAAGGAGGACTAAGGACTATCAGAAAACGACTACTGGCAGTCTACACAGCCGACGGTATCGCCTAATGCGTAAGGTAAACGAGGCATTTGCAAGCTAAACGATCAATATCGTCCAATATCTTCGCGGTAGTTATTAGCATCAGAATACTGGCATACAAATGTGTACGACATCGCACCGTCGAGAGTAGGCGCACTCCTATACACGCAGTCACTGCCCCTGTGCAAAAGAATGCATCCGTCTACATGAAAAAAAAAACGACGGCGGGGGTAAAAGTACTCACAGTTTATACAGTGTAACCTAAGACACGACAGTCATATGCATTACAAGTTTGTGAGATTGAGGGACTTGCATACAAGTCCCAAAGGGTTTCGCATTTTCCGTAAAAGAGGAAATGTACCCACGTCACAACAGCATCATTCATCAAAGCATAGTCCCAAATAGCATTGGACAATTATTCACAATGATTACTCATTAAGACAATCACTCACCTCTAAACATTTACACGGGTGAGACGATCCTGAAAACAGTTATCTAAAACGCCGTATTGAAAACTAGCCACGATGACTCTATACATAAATCGGATCTATCATTGACACTTCCTTGTTTTTGCATAGTATATAATACTGTCTGCTGCCAAAGCCGGCAAATGGTAGACACAAGTTCATTTCATTCAACTAAAAATCCTATTTAAAAAAGTGAAAACTGGCTAGAGTTGACTAAATTAGAACAAAATAAAGTTGCTACTGTCCGTAAAAGAAACAACCTAAAAAGACGAGGAACAGCTGACCAACCCATTTACAATGTGTGGGGACAACGTCGCAGCAGTACCTGCGCAAAAGGACGCAGGTTCGCGCTCGATTCACTTCCCCCTTCCCCGGCCCCCACCTCCCACCACGAGGACGTCCTTCGGGCTAGGAAGAAACGCGAAATCAGACTGGGGCCTGCACTCACACCTGTACACCATGCGACACTGGGGGCCTGCTCTGGACAATAAATATGCACACTAGGAATACCATGCAGAAGTCGACATTCCTTCCCTGCCTGAGAGTCCTTCCTTGTCCGGCTGTCCCGTCGCCTGCCGCTGCTTGGGTCTTCCCCGTCCCTGCCGCACCGGACCGACCCTAACAGCCTGTCCCGTTTACCGCCCCTCCGTCTATGCAGGACCATGTCCCCGTCTATGTCCCCGCCCCATCCGCCTGTCCCGCCGTCCCATCCGCCTGTCCCGCGATCCCTCCCGTCTGCCGCACCGCTCCTACCGCCACGTCCCACCCCGCCGGTGGTGCTAACCCATACATCGACCTCCCGGACCGATCTTTTGGCCCGTGTCGGCTGAGAATATGCTGCCGCAGTCTCTGTCGACTGCTGAGTACGCGGCCGCACTGATGACACGTGGTCTTTCCCTGGTGCACAGTCATGTGACAGAAGAATGACGGCTGGGAATACAGCGTCTTATGGCAGATCGGACAGACCCGGCTGAAGGTGGACGCTCGCGGCCCGCCGCCGAGGGTGCTCGGTCCACTCACACCTGCGGAGAGAGAGAGAGGCAGATGTGAGACGGGGGTTGAATCGTCAGACAACAAACAATTCGATTTAATGTTGTTTTTTCAGTACGTCGCGCCACGGATAATATGGTGTGCCTCGAGAATAGTAAACCAAAACAGCAGCGAATACGATTGATGACATCAATAGATCCCATTGGTTATCAACCGTATAAGAAGCACAATAAACACCTGTTGTTGGTTGTGAAGTCAGCGCTAAATCCACTTCGTTGAAGCGCGTGACTTTCAGTCTCCCGCAACGTGCCGTTCGGAGCGGCGTGTCATGCGGCACAACCTACCTTACGGCGTTCACACTAACGCCATCTATGGGCGGTATTATAAGCTGCACTGTCAATCGCTGTTCCCGGGCTAAACTCTGCTGAAAATTTTCATGGTGACACTTGAGTGACACCAAGAATAGCAAATCTTTCGATAAGGAGCCGTTTGAACACCCAGAACGCCGAGCGTGCATGGTCCAATGCAAACCTCAACTGTTTTGACACATGAAGCCAAAAATGGAGAACAAAACGTCCCAGGACGGGTTGCTCAGCTGCAAACGTTGTTAGCCATGAGTTTACCAAACCAATGTCTTTAGCAAACTAAAAGACAACTTGTTAGCTTTCAAGGTTCTGTATTGCTCATCTACATCCGTGTTTCCCGAAGCCATTTTACCTACACGTGTTTCCCAATATGAAGCGAGATGACCTACCTCAAGGTTCAACTTTCAAGTGGAGTTGTATGTAGCCATATCCCAGGTCGTGGCGGCGGTGACCCACCTATGGGTTGTAATGGGAGTTTGTATCTATTTCTCACTATGTGGCAGCGGAGACCCACCTATGGATTACGCCGGAGACGGAGCTCCTGCAGCAGTATGGCCTGCGGCGAGGTCGGGTGGATGGAGCTCAGGTGGACGCGCATGTTGTTACGCGTGGAGAAGACGCGTCCACAGACGGGGCACAGGGTCTCTCCACGGTGGATCGACAGGTGGTGGTTGAGCTGCGCGCGCGTGTGGAACGCCTGTCCACAGACGGCACAAACCTCCACCGGCAGTCCGACCGGCAGCCGCGCCAGCCCTGCAACACAGCAAAGAGCGTCGGTGGGGCGGCCAGCGCGCGGTCGGACGGCCGGCAAGAGGGGCGGGCTGCCCGAGAAGGGCGGTCGGACGGCCGGCGGGAGAGGGCAACCCAAGGGGGCAACCGGCGACCGAAGGAAGGTCGGAAAGGCGACTGACGATCAGTGAACGAACGCAAGGGTGGTTGGCAAATGGCAGACGGAGAAGAGTGCGATGGAAAGCCCGTAAGAGCAAAGGTTGAAGGGATTGTCTGAGCGGGAAATTTCAGTGGCGATTATAAGATACGACGACGTGTCACCAAGAAACCGTCCCAACGATCAAGACCAAGTTCTTCTAGAGGGATGAAAACCAGATCGAAGAAATGCAGCTTGCAGATAAATAATATCGGAATTCCTTATCTCCTTCAGCGATAAAAAGGAAGCCGAATTAAATTTTATACACAGGTATAAGCGTTCCTATAATTCATTACCGTCCTATGATGCATCACCATACATACCTCGGAAGAACCATCAGCATCCACAGAGTTTTGATCTGCAGGTGTCTCTCGATCAAAAGAATGAATATTAAATACCGAGGAATGGAAATACCGAGCATGAATATGTGGTAATGAGCGAGAATGCTGCACCATGCGCAGTGCCGCCTGTGTGGAAAATAGCACGGAACCACTACGCACTAACTACGCACTGTTCAATCATTGGTTAAATGATCAGTAGTTCATAGTTCCTATTAGCGAATTTATTGGTTATCGCATATAACCGCTAAAACGTAAGCACAAGTGAATTCAACAATGCATTCCGATTGCAGGTACAGAATGACTCCTCTATCAAAACATAAACCGTTTTATATCACGCTCATCTACCCTACATACAGCTGTGCCCCCAGCCAGTCGACATATCACATTATCATAGGGCACCACGGGAGGGTTTCTCACTAACGCCGTTCGCAGACGGAATCTGCAGTGGGCGTATGGTCGGAGAATTACCCAGCACTATCACCTCACCGACACCACCACAAAACCAGCACCAGCACCCGCACATCCAGCACCAGCGGAGGCCAGGCTTCTACGCTATCACCAGCAGAGGCCTACTTATTCTGTCAGTATCATTCAATTGGTCCGAGGTGACACAAACATACTCGGTGACCCATCGAATGTATCAAACTTTGACCGCTATAGCATGTACGTTATACGAGCAAGATACCAACGCGAATCACAACAAGGAATGCTCGGCTAACATAATAGCATCTGTCCCAGTAGGGATCCCGTGGAGCACGAGACCACATCACCAGCCCGTAACTCATAGTTTCTGGCTTCGCTGTATGGCGTAATCACGGTATCAATGTCAGTCACATCCTACCAGAGTCAGCCAACTTGTGACAAGAATGAATTCACCTATCCACCTCAAGTTCGCATAGTAAACTTGGTACCATCACGGTTTCACCACATGAGATCTCAACTCCACTGCTCTGCGCCGCTTAAGTCCGGCAGGCCAAAACCTTCTATCGCACAGCGCCCGGCTAGATCTCTAGTCCGTGTCGGGTGCGCAGGTGGCTCTTCATCTGTGTGCGCCGGGTGAACACGTAGCCACAGACCGGGCAGGTGGTCTGGCCGCGGTGGATGGAGCGGTGCTCACTGAGCCGGCTGGGGGTCTTGAACGTCAGGCCGCACTGCTGGCAGCTGAGGGCGGAGGCCGGCGGCGGTGGTGGCGGGCGTCCGCCTGCAACAGACAGGGACGCCACGGTCAGCACCCGCCGCCAGCCGCCGGCCGTCCAATGCCGAACGCTCACCGCCGGCCAGTCACATCCCGCCCCCTGTACCAGCCTGTCCACCAGTATGAGGACCACAGCCCACCGCCCACCAGCCGCCCCGCCTCCTGTACCAGCCTGTCCGCCAGTATGAGGATCACAGTCCAGCGCCAGACAGCCAGTCAACCCAACGTTCACCGCCGGTCCACGGTCCACCGTCCACCGCCAACCAGCCACAACCTAGCGCCAGCTAATGCTCATCGTCCGCCGCCGGTCCACCGTCAACCAGCCACAGGCTAATGCCAGCCATTTCTACCGTTCACCGCGGTTCACCGTCCAGGCAGCCACAGCCTATAGCGCCAGCCATTCCTACCGTCCGCACGCCACCCGCAGTGCACTGCTAGACGCCAGCCATTGCCCGACAGCCACAGCCCATCGACAGCCATTGCAAACCAGCCATAGCCCATCGCCCATCGGTCGAACGGTGCCCTCGCCTGAGGGATGCCAGTCTCTTCTTATTGTCACCACGATTCCCCTCAGTGTTTTATTTCTCGGCTATTCATCTGTACCGGAGATAAGAACAAGGACGTGGATGAGAAAAAGAGCGAACTAAAAAGGAAAATATATTTTATTCACAGCATAAAAATAAGCCACCAGTCAAAAAAAGAACAAAACGTTTTGTTTGGCTGCGGAAGCAACGTAGGTGCAGTATTCTATGGGCCACTACACAGCCTCTACGCGTTTAACCATTCTAAGCTGTGCAACAATGAACAAATAATATCAGATCATCTGGCCTCAGCTTAAAAGACTCTACATAAAAAGTCGCGCAGTATCAAACAGCCATGCCTAACAGATAACACAGTGTACAATACTGGTCTACAAAACTAGAAAAAGTTCTAAGCTCTTTTTGACACACCCAAATCTGTACATCCCGGAAAAAGAAAAATGCACAGATCGGCAGCAGCTTATTCACTAATCACTAGCTAGACATGAACACAAAGCCACCTTACAGACCGCACGAAACTCTCCATTCCCAGCCGTCCACACTGGCACCTTTTCTGAACACCACCCGTTTCTCGGTGGGACACCTGACTTCATCAGCGCCGCCATCTCGATCAGACCTCCTTCGCCGAATGACGACCCGTCAGTCCACGTTCAGATGAACGCACCGCACCCATTAGCCAAATACGCCTGCTCCCGCCGCCCCGGGCGGGGGCGGGGGCGGGGGCGGATACGGAGCTGCGGCGGGCGGCCGCATTGGCTCCAGGTCTGGCTCGATGCCGTGGTCGCGGCGCAGGTGAATGCGCAGGTTATGTCGCGTGGAGTACACCTTGGCGCACAGCCTGCACGTGGTGTGACCTGTGTGCATCGGCTTGTGGTTGGCCAGAGATGTGGTGCTCGAGAAGCTTTTGCCGCAGACGGGGCATATGACTCGGCCGCGGGCGCCACCTGCCGGCACAGGGGCGGAGGCGGGGCGCCGGTCAGAGGAAAGGCCGGCAAAGGGGCCCAGCGATCGAACGATCAGCGAGGTGCCGTGGCAAAACCTACGGCCCCGGCATCAATACATTTATAGTCAAGGCCCGTTCTGATAGAAACGGAACGCAGTCATAGAGAGGTGTGACCCGAACTGATCGAGATAAGGATCGGAAACGCGGCCCGTACTAGTGGAGGCGCAACTCATATGTGAGCCGTACCGCTAGACGGGACACAGGCGTGACCCCGTACTGATGAAGATTGGACGACGACTGATAGCTGTGTTAGACACGTACTGATGGCAACGGACACATTATTGTGACTGGAATGATGGGAAAAGTTGATGTGACCCGCATTGATGAAAAAGAGACACTGAAGTGTGATTCGCACTGCACAGAGACTAACCAAGTGGAAAGAAGTGAGTAGTAACCCAAAATGGTAGGGTGACCCTTATAAAACACAGGTGTGTAGTTGATTGCGAGCGGAACAGAGTCTTGGTGACCAGGTCCTAGTTACTGACGACCCTTTGACAACTGATGAGGAAAATAGCCATCCATATAGACATTCACGCGACTATGACAGGCGTATGGCCTGACATATAGTCGTTATGTAAGGCATTTAGCGCGAATTTATTGTGATTTGCACTTGTGTAATACGTTCTCTATAACACGTCACATGACATCCCAATTAACCCAACAGCCCTGTCAGTAACTTGAAATCAGGAAAAATATCCCGAAGGCTTTTTTAAGGCGATGCGACAGCACTGTTCTAAAAAGGATAGGAATTCGCATAACGATTCCGCTAAAAGTCTCAGCTTCAAGGCGAGACACTCGTTATTTAAGATCGCGAGGTCTGTGTTGGCCTTTCCAGGCATGCCGTCGAAAGTCGTGCTTCGATTTCATGCAAATTTTTGTTTTTATTACCCTTTGTTCCAAGACCTTTCGTGACATTGCCCACCTACCCCAAGTACTGACAAAAGCATAAGTCGAGCCGACAGGGATCGAGTTCACTGTTCAGTAACACCAATTGGCAACACGAATACGTTCGCTTTGCTCTTGATGCCTGCAAGCTTATTGAGCAGTACTGGGCTATTTCTAGTTCTCCAATCACCCCGCCCAACCAGCAGCCCTGTCCTCTCTAATCTAGTAGGCCGGACCGAGGGCTGTCAACCATATGTCGTCAGCCGTCGCAGTGTGATCTCACTCACCCCGAGTCAGTAGTGCGTGACAGTCGCCCCGGCGGCGCCAGGAGTCAAATACGATGCTGATAAGCCCGTTCAGAGCTGCCCACGTGGGCGACCACGTGACGACTCGACGGGTTGGAGCCGGGGACACGAACACGGCCAGCAGGTGTTGGGACAGGACACGGTAGCAGGGGTCCGAACAGGACAGGACAGGACACGGACAGGTACCCGGATACAGACAGGGCTGCAGGTGTCCAGATAGGACATGGAGAGCACGAATCCGGACAAGACACATCCCAGAAGTGAGGGCGAGGCAGACACACTCTACGTGATCGAGAGCTGACTCTCCATACAATCTGATGAGTCTGACGAGTCAGACTGATGAGCGATGAGCCTCGATGTGACACGAACTAAGTCTTATCAATTAAATATCATTGGATTGGTTCTATTTTATTACGCAGCATTCCTGACGCAGCGAAAAAGTTCACACGTAAAAACATCGGGAATAGTCACTCATCACACCAAAAAAAGCAATACCGCTCTTTGTTCTTTGCTATGAAGACAGACATTTAGAAATATCAATTACCATACGTTCAGCATTTGATTTGGCATCATAGTTGACAAGAAAACTATAAGTGTCCGATTAATAAAAAACAGCCCCGTTCAAAACAACATATAAAATCACACAAGCTAGGATCGAAGAAGGGATATGAAGACCAATGTAACCACAACTGGTATAACAATGTAGGTCAATGAAATGCCATGCATCGTTTCCATGTTATAATTATTAATTGATGGTCGTGTCAAACATCCATGATAATGTGAGAAAAAGTCACTCACAGCGGATCATAAAAACAGATACCTTACGGCTTACCATCATTCAATAAAAACCTCTTCTGCTGGTTGTGCGCTTACATTGAACAGGTGCCAATTCTAGCCACCCAAACAGCAGCCACATCTCCAATCTTTGGAGCACGAGTTCAGTAATATACTGAGGCGATCCGGAGAAGCGCAAGGGCTCGGCTGTGGCACAGTGCTGCTAACTATCTGGGAGATCGTTATACAAGTAAGCACGCACTTCTGCCATCTAGCGTGTGCCACTGCTCGACTGCCAGAGACAAGGCCCGAGCCAAGCCACTCACACCGTCACGGCGTTCAAGCAGAGAGCTGCGCAGAATGTAGCTGAGCTTTCTCTCTATTCCAGAGCCAGAAGACAGTTGCATCATACTGCTTCTACCACCCACAAACAGGTATAAACAGCAAACCAAAATGACCAGCTTCAGAGCTGCACGACTCGCCCCCGCGGCAAACTATCGGCTCACAACCCAGAGCAAGACCGACGGAATTCCACCGTCCATTTCCGACTATTGCAATCCACTACTACTCCCTCCCCCACCGCTGCCGCCGGGACCACCTCCCAGGCCCGGGGACGGCCAGGAGGGGGGCAGCGGCGGCAGCGGCGCGTCGCCAGCGCCCCCTGCGGCCGCCGGCGGCCGGTGTTTGGCCGTCATGTGCACGGACAGGTTGTACTTGTTGCTGAAGACGCGGCCGCACACCGGGCAGCCCGTCTCGCCCCTGTGGACGGCCTTGTGTCGGCTGAGGCCAGCGCGCGACAGGAAGCTCTGGTGGCATACGACGCACCGAAACCGGGGGCCTGCAACACACAGGGAGCGCGCTGGCCTCAGACGAGTGTGGCGATGGAGAACGAGCGACAGGGCCGGCCGGCGGACACAGGGGGCGGCCGACAAGGGTGGACGGTGACACACCGGGAGAGTGCGGACAGGGGGCGTAATGGACGATAGCTGCCCGGGGATGCAAGCGGCGGTTCAACGAGCAACTGGCAGGGAATTGAGATACTGTCCAATCATCGTTATGGTGTATCGGGAGCAACAGGAAAATAAAAATAAACGACGGGTATTTCTTAGGGTAAAAACGACGCGTATCCATATAAGATAGATATTTTGCGCAGAAAACATAAGAATTGTACTGATATCTTCCGTGGGCAGCTCAAGCAGCATCATTGTTTACAGGCTGTACCGTACACTCAATAAACAAATCGCATCCTTTCGAGCTTATTTCAGTCTGAACTCGGCTGTATGAAAAACGTTCGATCCCTTTCTTTCATGAAAAATTTCCTCAGCCGACAACAGTCCTCAGTCGTATATTATGAATCATGACAATGACGATGCCCTTCAAAACACAAATGACTACACCATTCAGAACAACCGCCGTCCGGAGATTGCCTCCAACTCCTAGCAGCCAGCTTGATGATGCAGCATTCGCCACGCGTCAAGGCGTCCTACTGGTGGCGGACGTCTTCCCCGCTGTCCCGACCCCTCCCTCCACTCGTCCATCACTCCCTGTTCTGTGTCTCAACGCTCTCTGGTCTCGCCGCAACCGGCTGACCCCCGGTCCCCAGCAAGCATCCATGCGTCACTCTCATGTGTCGCCTCAGAACCGACACAGTGCTGTATACAACACCACAGAGATCACAGCGTGTCGTGCCCAGGTGTATCGAACGGTGGTTCCGCATGGAACCAATGCTGCCCAGAACCCGGCCGCAAATGTTGCACGGGAACCGCGACTGTCCAGGAGCCCCCGTCCCCGCTGCTGGGACGGGAGCAGTGCTGGGCGGACCGGGGCGCGTATTCGCCAATTGTATTACACGAATCGGCCCATCAACTAGCGACATCTCTAGTGCGACGTCATAGCCATCCGCCGCGACAATGCATGCATTGAGGCTAGATTTGAGTTGAGGCTTTTTTTGCAATTGTATATGGCTATCAAATATGTATGTGTCGCCGTAGCCGAGTGGTTTGAGTCTCGGTGTGGTGAACGAAAGGTTGGTGGATCGATTCTTGCTTTAGCGGTTCTTTTCTCTTAAAAAGAAGTCGGTCGTAGACGCGCATTTTTGGCCCCTACGTTCGCACGCCAATATCGTACGCCCAATAAATCTCTGACAAGTATTCATCTGATTAAGGAATGAGTTGCAAAAGAACTGCAGTTGCAGTCTATACCTGAACTACCAATTTTGTTACGGCACTGTCGATATTCGTCGAAGTCGGAAGAGCTATTATGAAACACACTCGAATGACAACGGATTCCTGTATTATTTCATCGATCAGATAAGACATGTATAGAGATAAATTGATGACAGCCCGCCGTGAGCATGCAACTTAACAACCAGTCCCAAGTTATCTTCATAAACGTCTAATATAAATCTTTTTGACTTTAACTAGATTCCAAGTAAGGGGACTAGGTATCCCCCTGGCGGCTGAAATGTAAAAGTTATAGTTAGGGCATAGCTCCTATAGATGACGCTCTGACGGCTGGAAACTGATGATCTCGTCCCGTGATTACGCTAACAGCTATGCCGAACTTTTTTTGTGCATGGTGATTCTTACACGAAAAGCTATCTAATAGCCTGCTTACCAGCGTGCGATTTTTACTTTTCATCTTAGTTTTCGCTTCTTTTAGGTACTTTACCTTGCCAAGTGCCCACCTACTTTCAAAAGGTCAGCGCCGCCCCTGTCAATGCTGCGTGCTATCACCCATTGGCAGTGAGAAATATTGATCAATGAGAATGAATGGCCATCGCCCAGCACCATTTGTCTTTCCATTGGCTACGTTCGCATAGTATGCACTATGCATTAGTGATGTTAATCAAAGAAAATCAGAACACCGCTACCAAACCAAATACAAACAAAGACCATAGGAAAATACCGAAACCGAACCAATCGGTTGGACTGCAAATATCTATCTTATGCAACATATTCATTAGAAGAATGCCTAC